TCTGCACTTTGAGACAATGTAATCTTAGCTGTCCACACTCTTTAATAATCCTCCTCTTCAAGCATCTATGATACGTGATCCTTTTATGAAATAATTCAGCGACTTCAATGAGTTTGTGTCAGGGAATTCCACATTCTGACCGTATTCTGCATCAATTGACTTTCTAACCTCCCCCTTTATTTTTTTCCCCAATAATCTTAAATGTGCGCCTGCTCTTTAACTGTTGTGCTGACTCGTGGGAATCTCATTGATCCTATCGTAACCCTTAATAATTTTTCAAGATCTCTATCGGGTCACGCTTTAATCTTCTCAGCTCTGGAGAAAAAGACCTAAACTTCTCCATTTTTTTCTTAATAACATAATAATAATATCCCTCCTAACATTCCAATGACTCTATGCTGCTTTTTTTTTTATGGCAATTTTTCCCTCCAGTATACCCTTACACAGCACCCTATACTCTTCTCTGTGGCCCTATTTAAAGTCTTCTGCAAATACCCCCTCCTTTTTGAATTCTACGCCTCAGGACATAAAGCCCAGGATTCATTCCATTTACCTTTTTTTTTATCTCTTTATCTCTCTGCACTGCCACTCTTAACGTCCTGTGTATCTGCACACCAAGGTCCTTCTGCTCCCCAGCCTCCATTTAAAATCAAACCATTTAAGGTGTATTTCCTTTCCCTTATTCTTACTCCCAACATGTACTACTTCAGCAATGCACTAACTGCACCTGCTTCCTCTCCCTCTGCCCACACTCCCAGCCTATTCATCTTATCCTGAGCTTTCACAAGCCTTATTATAATTTGGAAATGCCTTTTTTTTTTCTTCACGTCACCAGCAGAAACCATGGTGGTGTGGCCTGTCGTTGTGATGTGATGTGAGATCCAGACAAAAGCAGCAATCATCACAAATATCTGAACGTTACACAGGCAATTAACACGTTGTAGTTCTCTCGAATACGATCCGCGTGGAAACCAATCCATCCGCACTTTCCACAATGGTGCTGAATTTATTATGTCATTTTTAAAAAAAAAAATACTAAACATATAGATTTCAAATTGACAGGCAATGTCTTAAGTGCCGGCCTTCGTGTTGTTTTGCATTCCTGGAAGAACATTTTGCTGCCAGAATACAGCACTAAAGAAACTCAGAAAAAAAACTGTAACGATTGCTTTGGTGAAGCACAACAGAATGTTAACAAAGCAAATCTTACAAATGGCATTACTAGTTTTGAATGCTGTCAATATTATTATTATTATTATTATTATAAGTGAGTATAATAAAAGGTTATTGTCTTAATTCAGAAATCAAAATTGTATTGTCTTGATTTTCCTTAAAAAAACATTTAAACATGAATAATGCAAAATAAACTTCCCTCTGTGGCTTTCTGAGCTGATGCCTAATGCTTTTATGCTTTTCCTCACTGTATTGAAATGAAAAATGCACTGTCTTCCATTCTTCACTCCACCTCTCTCTGGATCTGAACACTGTGGAAATAAAGGAAATGCTTTTGTCTCTATGATGTATACACACAACGTATTGCAGTATTTTCTTCACAGCCTAAAATAAAGGGTCTTTTTTTTTTCAAACAAAATTTCAGCCAGCAAATAGTTGTGAAATTGATTGCTAATTTAGCAGTTTATGTAAGAAGATTTGCATTGCCTTTGCCACGGCTGCGTGTAAAGATATTCCTGCAATAGTGGCTTCTGTGTATTGCACCTCACCTGCTGCAGTGCTCTGTGTGTCCCAATTCCCAGTTACATTGGGTGTAATAATTAAGATGTTTGAGTTCAGTCCCGCTCAGATTTCACATAATTATGACACAACTAATATAGCTCAAATCGCTAGGAGAGTGCTTTATCAGCTTTCGAAGGGCTGATGGAGAATGTAATTAAATTTTAGTTTATTAATTATGAAAAGAAGATCTAAGAGAGGTTTCAGCACAGAATTAAGAAAGCCTTTGTCTGGAGCAGTGCTCAAGCAGCAGATAGTGCATTGCAGTGAAGCCCATTTATCCCCACACACACAAAAAAAAATGCAGCTGGAAATGACAGCAACCAGAATTGGAAGCTTTGCTCATATATATATATATATATATATATATATATATATATATAAAATGTGGAGATGGCAGAGGGACACAAATGCCTGGTAAGTAGGGTTTTTTTTTAAAAAAATGACAAAATGCTCTCCTGCATATAAACTACACCCCTGTGATGTGCATTATCTTTCACCAGGGAACCAATCCAGCACTGGTTATTGTGTCTGGAGCAGCTCAAACGTGATGTCTGTTGGTGCACAGACATGAATTCCCATCAGCTGTACTCTTAGACAGTGCAGTGGCATAATCCGCCAGAGATGGTCTCCCTCTCCCTCTCTCTCTCTCTCTCACTCAAGACCACCTTCAAGCCACAATTATTCAAATTCAGCGCAAATCTATTCATTAGATAGACTGGATTTTTTTTTTTTGGGTGGGGTGGGGGTGGGGGGGGGGTTGCAATCACACCTACAGTTTCAAGGGCGCTGCCTCTGCCACGTGTGAAGCTGTAGAGAATCATTCTGTTGGCAAATATCTTCAGCAGAACACCGAGTCCAACGTTATTATAAGTTCGCCCGATGTCCAGTTGATCCCTTCACAACATTATCACGTTATCTGCCTCCTCTTCCACAAAGGCTTGAACAGTGTTTCACTGGTCCAGGGCACCACCGGCTGTTCCAGCCTCAGAATGCTGCAAAAATCAATTGCCCATCTGCTGGTCACACCGACCAAATGCTTTCTTCTCTTACATGGGATTTATTGCCCCCCCCCCCCCCCCACACACACACACACAGCACAGCACTCCCCTCACAAGTATTTATCTTTATGCTGCAAAAAAAATGTAATGGTGCAATCCAATGCCCAGTTATTTATGTACAGCGCCTTTCCCGTTGGTGTGCGACACACGACCACTTTGGAGTGATTTCATGCCTTCATTGTCTGAATGTGGACCTTTCCTGGGACTGTGATTAAGTGATATTAAAGACACGGTATTACACACCATATAGCAATCCCTGCATTTGATATTGTTCCTCTGATGTTGAGAACATCTCAAAGTGCCCATAAAAGTTTCTGCGAAGTGTAGTGACTGTGTATTTGTATATATCTGTAGGGCTTTCGTTACTCGCCCCACGTTATGTGAAGAGGGGCTTTTATCCTTTGTGAATATATCCAGAGACATTCAACTCACACAGGCATTTTAGCTGAGGTGTTTCCAGAGTGAACTATTTTTAATTTGCTTCATTATTTGAGGATTTTAAGAGTTGTGAATTTTAGTTTCATAGTTACTTCTATACTTATTGTGCGTCTGAGAGTTTTCAGTTTTATTTATTCTGAAAATAGCAATGGAATTAAGTGTTCGCCGCTTTGTTATCACGAAGGGTGTATCATAACAAACTGAGACACAAAAACAATCGGAAACAAAAATTTTTTTATATTCATTTGAATTTGTACCGTATTGCAGAAATAGTAAGATATTTGAATTGAAGTGTTGCGTTATACGTTCCGCAAATGATGTGGGTTTCCCTTCTGCACTGGGGGTTCCCTGTCTTCCTGATTCTCCTCTTCAGCAAGTGGTGGATTCATGGCAGCAATACAACCCCACAGGCAACAGCAGCCTTTCAGCCAAACTTCATCGGTGAACCTGGACAGAGAATGCTATAGCATATTAATGCGTTTGACTGTGGGGGTTATAACAGCCAAACCTGACTGCCTTCACTGGACATTCATGCAAACACACTCTCAAGAGGAGCTGATTAGCCCTGAGATACTGAAGCCAATTGCTGCACTTTTCCTGCTGTCAGTTAGCAAAACACAAGGTAGAAATGCAACGTGGAGTTTATTTCTCTATATGTGTTCAGTCCCCACACTGTACTACACCCCGAACTTGATGCATTGAAGGGTGAAAATGGGCAGGGACTTAGCTGTTGGTTTATCTATAACGTCCTGAAAGATGATGCACGAATCAAAGCAGCACATCACACCATTGATCCGTTATCCAATCTTCGTGCCATGCAGATTGGAAGATGGGTGAGGATGGGAAAGATGGGATCAATCAAGAGTTATATTGGCATAAGTCTGGATAACGCTGCGTGCCATACACTCACCTGGAAAATGATGGGCAACAAGAAAAGGGGACAAAATAAGTAAAACAGAGGATTTTTAATTACTTTGCTTTTTCTACAGCTTCCGAAATGCTTAACGGAGGGGGAAATTGTACTCCACAGAAAGAAGCAAAGTGTATGTTTAAAAAACAATAAGCTGCGAACAACACTCACAACAGAGTAACATTTCCTTCAGAAATTGCAGGGAAAAAAAACCTCGTAGTAGAGTTCTGGAAGCAATTCCAAGTAGGGACCACCAGTAGATGATGTTTGTCGCAATTGCGTTTTTATAAAGTGCCACTGTACCCAATCCATCATTTCTAACTCAACAATGCAATTCACCATATGAAAGGCTGCTTCATATAGTGACAACTCAGCTTAAACCACTGCACCGTTTCTGTTTGGTAACAGATAGAAAGAAGAGAGTCCCTCATAGAACTGATTTATTCGCGAATAATTGGCACATGGTGCTCAGGGCTCCTTTAAATGAAGTTGAGCTCTTCCTTGAAGGTCTCTCGGAAGGCTTTTCTGAATATTTAGAAAGGATTGCTGCTGTTCCGGCATTATTTCCAATGCATCCAGACATCCAGCACAAAGATGCCAATGAAATCACTGCAGCTTCTGTTGCAAAAACAGTAGCAAATAAGGTCTTCCAGAAACTCGACCTTTACCATCTTCCTTTAATGTACACTTTAGGTGAACTTCTAAAACAACGGTAATCATAATAATAATAATAAAGCATTAAATTAGTTCAAACTGGGCTCTGAGATCGCGAAAATCATTTCAGATGCGTCGTCTTTCTACCAAGTTACCCCAAAAAAAAAGATGTCGAGCAAAGAAATCCGCAATCCACACAAAACGGGTTTGTTTCAGTGTTTTTTTTTTTTAATTTATTTTTGCAACATGTCGAGCAAAATGTCCGTGGAGAGACAGAATTCAATACACAAATAAAATACAACTGACTTTACATATTTAATGGGTGGATACATCTTTTGCTATCAATCAATGTATGTGGTCCGAACACCATTGTATGACTGAGCCGCTGGTCCCTTGTTGGAGGGCAGGGAGTGGTTTCCCCTTTTGGGAGAGGATTTTACAGCGGAGTCCCATTCACTGAAGTCAGTTGGCAGTGGGGGCTTTGGAACAAAATCAAAACCAGTCATCTTAAAACAAATAAAGCTGCATCTTCGTTCTTTTCCCCCCATCTCGCGTTCAGGAAGCCGATTCCTGTCTTTTTTCCTGTTCGATGGCTGAAACAAAAACAAATCAAGAAGGAGTCCCGAACCCCCTATTAGCTGAAACTTGAGCACAATGTCATTGCAATCGGCCTTTTGGGGTAAAATGCACCACAGCAAAGTAAAACGAATAAATCTTAATTAATTGTCCACCCCCCACCCCCCCTCCCCGCCCCAAAAAAAAGATATGATATTGTAAATAGACCACTGCAACTTAGACAGAAGAACCATCTCCAGTCCTTGTTCACCATAGCCTGGTCCGGTCTAGGCGTGGTCAGGTCAGGGATAAAGCTCTCAGAGCTGTTGGGAATACTTACTCTCTTTTGTTGGCAAAGGGTTTTTCTCTTTGGTTTCTATCTTCTTGAGTTTAGTCCTATCAAAACCTTTGATTTCCACCAGGTTGGGTTTGTCTGACATGGCGTCGGCTGTGGAGATAACATTGAAATCCAGACTCGTTATGGTGGAATGCGATTACAGTGCAGTAAAACCCACAGTCACTACAAAGCACGCGCTGTAATTAAAAAACACACACACACACACACACACAGGGGCTGCAATTGAAATATTACGATGGTTATTATTTTTTTTGGCGTGTGGGGAAATTGCAGATGACAGGAATATTACAAAAGCAACCGCTGGAGCCCGGAGACTGGTGCACGACGTGAAGAAGCATTAACCACAGGAGATTATCAGCCTCATTGTAGGGCAAAAATCAATTAGACATTTCAGTCTTCTGGTCCTTCTAAAGTACCAATATCTGCCTCTGCAGCTCCACCCCCTGTGGTCCATATACACCCCACATTCTTCTGCTTAGGATCGCTGTCAAAGGAAGGGACCGCCGCCCTGAAACATTAACGAATGCTGATTCTTTTTTTTAATGTGCAATTGCAATTCATTTTTTTTTTAAAAAAATAGAAACCTCCCACACACACACACACACACACACACACACACAGTGATGAACGCGTTCCGTTCATTCAAATTGGATTCTGAAAGGAAGTCGCCTCAAAAATGCAAAGCTTTCCACGTCCCGGTTTTCCAGCCAAAGAAAAAGGGTCGTCGGAGTCCCCACAAATACAACCTCATTGTATTTTAAACCGCACAAAGGATCGCCCCAAAGCTTTGACACGCGTCGCTATATCCACACCCACGAACACCTCTCTATCCGAGTGTTTCGTGACTATTTTTAATAAAGGCGGCAGTCGCTCAGCAACAAAAAAAAATCCAAAAAAAAAAAAAATCCGCGAGTGCGAGGAAAAGAATAAAGATTTTTTTTTCGTTCGAAACGAGATGAGCAATGCTGAAACATCTGGATATCGTTCACAGGGCACAGCGTTGTAATGCTGAATTGGGGGGAAAATCACAGCGAGAGGGAGAGAGGGAGAGGGAGAGAGAGAGAGAGAGAGCTTGGGGTTGGGGTTGGGGTTGGGGTTGGGGTTGGGGTTGGGGTTGGGGTTGGGGTTGGGGTTGGGTGCATCGCTTACTTACCGTTATCTTTGTCCTCCTCTCGGAAATTCAGCTGCTGTCCGCTCCCGCACTGTCTGCACTGTGCACTGTCTGTCTCTGTCTGCACTGTCTGTCTGCACTGTCTGGGTGTGTATTAAAAGGCGCAGAGAGAGAGGGAGAGAGGGAGAGCTCTGTGGGATTAGCATAAATATCTCTCTCACACACACACGGACCGCCTTCTGGAAATCCACCGCACACGACAGCAAATGGCAACGCAGCGTTGCTGAGACTGGTCAGAGGATGGCACAGGGAGAGGGCGGCACAGGGAGAGGGCATCACAGGGAGAGGGCATCACAGGGAGAGGGCGGCACAGGGAGAGGGCGGCACAGGGAGAGGGCGGCACAGGGAGAGGGCGGCACAGGAGAGCATAGGGAGAGCACAGGGCGGCACAGGGAGAGGGCAGCACAGGAGAGCATAGGGAGAGCACAGGGAGAGCATAGGGAGAGGGCATCACAGGGAGAGGGCGGCACAGGGAGAGGGCGGCACAGGGAGAGGGCAGCACAGGGAGAGGGCATCACAGGGAGAGGGCGGCACAGGGAGAGGGCGGCACAGGGAGAGCACAGGGAGAGCACAGGGAGAGGGCGGCACAGGGAGAGCACAGGGAGAGGGTAGCACAGGGAGAGGGCGGCACAGGGAGAGCACAGGGAGAGGGCAGCACAGGGAGAGCACAGGGAGAGGGCGGCACAGGGAGAGCACAGGGAGAGGGCGGCACAGGGAGAGGGCGGCACAGGGAGAGCACAGGGAGAGGGCAGCACAGGGAGAGGACATGCAAAGCACTACGCAATTCAGGAACGCATCATTCAAGATTCTGAACAAATGAATAAGGCATTGTGTGCTCCAGAGGGGTTGGTGAGGGTGGTGCCCGTTTGGATGGTGGTCACACAGTTTAGATCAACCCCCCACCATCCCCGCAAAGTGCATACGCAGTGCTGTGTGTGTGAGAGAGAGAGATGGTACGAATCTTTAAATAACACTATAATCGGAAGATCACAGTTGGAAACGAGACGCGTCTTTAACGCTTCTGGGAAAGACAGAGTGGAATAGCCATTTTCGGTGCAATGCCAGAAATACAGCTAATCAGATTTCAAATGATCGGGAGGTTTCAGTAATTGCAGAGAGAGAGAGAGAGGTTTACAAAACACAGTTGACTTAACAATTACACTGATCCCAAAAAAAAAAACTCACTGGGCGCAAAGGACAAAGGAATCTGGACGTTGCTTACGGTTCTGTTGGGTGGTTTATCGCAAATGTCCATCGTTTGGTAGTATTCCTCCTGTTTGGAGACACCTTGGGCAATGCATCCAAACTGCCCGGCATGTTGCTGATTTTATTTGCAGCTTTTTTGGGGGGTTGGAGGGATTGCAAGTCGTTTTGAAATATGGTTCTGATTTGATAAACCCCGGTGTTGCCACTGCTGCATTCACAAATAAACCTGGGCCAACAGTCCTCAGCAGCTTCATGGAAGTCTGCATTTCTTGGTTGTCCTGCTGGAAGGAGAAATGTCTGATCAGTTGGGCACTCTTTTGTTTTTTTTTTCTTTGGACGGTTGGAAGATGGGAATGAAACGTACCGGGATTAAAAACCGGTGGGATAAAATTTACCTGGAATCCACCTCCTTTGCAGTGTTTCCTCGGATGGCTTCATGCAATAAAACTATAGATTTATGGATAGTATTACGCAGGGCACCCCCCCCCTCATGTGCCAAAGGACACCCAAATCTGTGCTGCTCTTGAGAGAGTGCCAAGGTAATAGCACGATTACAAGAGCTTCTCCCATGTTTGTGTGGATGACTATACGGTACATCATTTGCTGGATCTGAGAGACCAGAAAGACCCTGAGCCCACATTCAATCTCGGGTCAGCAATGAGTTTGGGTACATCCTGATTGCTGTCCACTGCAACCTTGTGGATAGAAGTGATTTGGTTCTGCTGCTCTACATAGTCCAATAGCTTGTCAATTCGGATTGTCCAGGCACACAATGAATTTGCACTTGGATAAGGTACTAAACGATCACTTTCATCCATGGAACTGCTCACAAGCAAAGGTCACTGCTCCCGAGGTAGGAGAAATGGGAGAAAAGAAACCTGATGAAAGATCTGACTGATGACAATTTTACAGTCATGGAATGTTTCAGTCGTCTCCTTAGAGTCTCATTACACCAACATAATTGACTTCTACCTCAGTTGCGTCTGTCACTTGAGAATCCATTGAATTTGTGATTTAAATTTTCTTACAAATGTCCAGAAATGATGTACGTGTACAGTATTTGGTTCATTCGTTCACTGTGTGTCAAGAAGGGTTAAGGAAGCAACTCACAACTGATGTCATTCAATTCTGCATCCGTTTCATTCATATACCAAAGCAAACATTATGTAAATGAAATTAAAGCATTGCTTTAGAATATGTCAAGTAACATGGACAACAGGATCAGAGAACCATGGTGAGAACCGTCGAATGTTACAAGACAGACAGGATATTTGGCCATTATGTTTGTGCTGTTTATTTTTTCCACATGAGCTAACTAATCTAATACCGATCTCTCCTGTTTGCTCCAGTTTCAAGCAAGAGCACAAACCTGGAATAGAATTACTGGATGGTGTGTGAGATAAAACAAATACCTGTACTATTCAGTTAGGCAACTGTATGTGAAACAAACATATCAAGAACATGATGGAAAATTGAGCAGTAGCTCAGAGCTGAATTATTGTGGTCTTAAGGAACTGAAGCATAAAATATACTTGCGTACAGGCCTTGAAGCCTTTTTGGGTGTAATAGCATGACAATGCACTTCAGTAATGTGCTGCAAATAGCAAAAAGCAGCTCGAGATCTGCTATGTTCAGCGAGTTGCAGGTTTTGTGGTTAATTTAATACTGATTTGAGTCACTGACAATTGAAATCCGCCTTCCAGCAGATTGTGTGTAGATAACTTTGCATCCGCTATCAGTTTGTTTTCATCAGATCAAAATTAAATCTTGGGAGGATATTTGCAATGGGGCAGTGTAGAAAGGTGCCCACAATGACCCTGATCTGGGATATGTGATGGAATGAATGCTTCATGCACATCGAAAAAAGGAAACAATGAAGTAAAAATAAGTATATCGTGGTATCTCAGCTGGAATTACTACTACTAATACTACTAATAATCCTTGCGTTTGATATAGCGCTTTTCACCTCTTCGAGACGTCTCAAAGTGCTTCACAGAATATACTGTATAGTGAATTGAATAATATGCATTACAAATGCACTGTTTGCTCAGCAGTAATCCAGGTTCCTTTTCAGGATGTTTGACTATTACAAAAAGTATTTGAATTTGAATTCTTTAGTATTTTGCTTATATTCTGAACACAATAATTCGCTGCTCCACAATCACATATTATTCTAGTCCAGGGACATGGTGGTCAGCTAGGTAATGGCATTGTTTTGCCTACAAAATACAGTCAATTCACTTTACAGCATATTCGGTGAAGCACTTTGAGACGTCTCAAAGACATGATAAGGCACTGCATCAAATGCAAGGATTATTATTATTTTTATTATTGCATCTAGTACTGCAAGGTCCTAATATTGAACAAATTATCATAATATAAGAGAATATAAGAAATCACAAAGGAGGATCCATTAGTGTTCACTAGTCCCTCATCAGTAAAATCACGTACAATACCTTTCAGTGTCCTAAGAAAATGTTAATATCCTTACTCTGGCTGTATTTCTTTGTGTAGTAAATTCTTAGGACTCCAACTGGTTTAGAAACAAGTAGCTTTGTTTTGGACCAGTGACCAATTCAGATGAAAGCAATACAGCTACAACCATAAGTACACATGAATAAAGCATTTGTATTGCGCCAGTATATCATGTAAAATTTGAATAAAGATCTTCAAATGCAAATTTTATTATAAAGCTACAAGTATACATTTCCCTGAACCCTTCCCCTCATCAGAATCAACGACGTGAAGTATTAACAGTACAGACAATACCAAATATCAGAGAATAAATATTTGATTGGAAATTCAGGAATACACACAAATGCCAGAAAGCATTATCATCTGTTCCATAACATCACCATAAAGAAGTATTATTAAATATTTAATATGGCACTTTCCTTGATGTTATCAATTAAATACCCTTTATAGTATGCGGTAGCACGATAATGCTATGGTAGCATCCCTAGCATTGCTGAATGAAAAAATCCACTGCCAGATTTTTGTGCTTGTTCATTATTCAGTGCTGGAAGATCCATATATGGGGATGTTAGAGGAGGACAAGATTAGTTTCAGCAGTTGAAGTCTATATACTGTGTAGGAAAGGAACATTAAAAAGACTAATTTTCACTGATAAAAATCTCTATTTGGTCAAATTCAATCAGTAAAGACATTATTCACCTGAACTTCATTTTTAATAAAAAATTTACTAATATTTTTCGGTATTCCCGATAGTGCACATGCATCCTGAAACACACCTGGGAATGCCACACATCACATTGTATGATCTGTTAAGTGGCTGTTGCAAAATAGATCCTAATTTTGACCAAATTTACAATGACCGGGTACATTTGTGTTAAATTTCCTTCCCACTCCAGATTTCGCCAAAAAATTAGAAAAACACCTGGATCCCTGTACTGGCGGTTGGGATATGGGAGGGTGGAGGGCAAAGGGGGTAAGAAGGTGACTGAAGACAAGGTCAAAGAAGAGGGTTTTGAGACCGATCTTGAAGGAGGCATGGGAGAGGGCGAGGCAGAGGGACTGCGGGATGGAGTTGCACAGGATGCAGGCAGAGTGGCTGAAGGTCCGCCGGCCAATGGGCAAAGTGGAGGACGTGAACCAGGTTGGAGCTCGCTGAGGGGAGGGCAGGTTGGTAGGAGGTCAGGGGGAGCGAGGCCATGGAGGGCTTTGAAAGTGAGGTCCAGGCTCTTGAACTGTATCCTGTGTGATGGGAAGCCAGTGGAGTCGGGGAGCCTGGGGGTGAGGATGGGGGTGATGGGGTCGGGGAGCCTGGGGGTGAGGATGGGGGTGATGAGGTCGGGAGCCTGGGGGTGAGGATGGGGGTGATGAGGTCGGGGAGCCTGGGGGCGAGGATGGGGGTGATGGGGTCGGGGAGCCTGGGGGTGAGGATGGGGGTGATGAGGTCGGGGAGCCTGGGGGTGAGGATGGGGGTGATGGGGTCGGGGAGCCTGGGGGCGAGGATGGGGGTGATGGGGTCGGGGAGCCTGGGGGCGAGGATGGGGGTGATGGGGTCGGGGAGCCCGGTGCGGGAGAGGACACGGGCTGCAGAGGTCTGGATGATCTGCAGCCTGTGGAGGGAGGAGTCGGGGAGGCCAACATGGCAGGGAGTTTGTGTAGTCCAGCCTGGATGTGATGAACGCGTGTAGGAGGGTCTGGGCGGCCTGCGGTGTGAGACAGTGGCGGAGCCGAGCCGGGCGCTGTTGCGGAGCCGGAGGTCAGGGCACGGACGTGGGGCGTGAAGGATAGTCAAGGATCAATCAGGACGCCGAGGTTCCCCCTCCCTCCTCTCCCCCCCCCATCACCACCACAAAAACAATAACACCGCACAATGCTTCAAACAAAAATGGTCGTTGCTGTCGACTGGCAATGGCTCGGCAGCCATTTTGTGCGCTGCAACGTCCCACAACACCCAGTCCAAGGCGGGAGGGAGAGGGGGGGGTCACTGTTGCCAGGAGACGGGCAGAGAATCCCTCCCCATGTTTATATATACCGGGGGGGGGGGGGGGTCCCGCTGAACCGGTGCCACTCGGTTCAAAAGTCTCGCAAGAAACCTACCGCACAGTTAACCGCATCCCCCCCACTCCGCTCCCTCCCGCCTGCCCGCCCGCCCTCCTCAACGGGGACACGGTCGAGCGTGAAGTCGGTTCGCGCAGCACCCACCAGGCCCCGCGCCCGTCCGCCCGCCCGGCTCCATGGCAACGGCGCGTTGAGCCCCCGCCCTCCCGGCCCGTGACGTGGCCGCCCAGCCCGGCGCCGCCCGGCTATTGGTCAACCGACAGTGATGGGGGCGGGGGCAGGCGCGCGGGCCACGACGTCACTTCCCGTAGCTGACTCCAGTCGGTGACGCAGACGTTGCCCTATCCCCGCTGAAGGAGAGAAATAGGAGCCATCCAAACAATCTCCCTCCGAGAAAAATAAAATACTCGCTCTCCCCCCCTCCCTTCCCTCTACCAGTTTTTTTTTGTTGTTGCGGTTTTCCCTCTTTCTTCCCCCCCTCCCCCCACCCCCGTCCCACCCCACACCCCCGCCGCCGCGAGAGAAAAAAAAGAACAAGAGAAAAACCAGCCAAGAAGGAAGGAAAGAAGGAAGACGAGAGTTACATTTTTTTTAAAAAAAAAGATCTCTCTCTGTCTCTGTCTCTCTCTCGGAACAGCCATCGCCGATCGCTTGCTGCTTTGAGGTGGTGTGGCTTGGGGGTGGGGTGGGGTGGGGGGAGTAAGGAGAAAAGAGGTGACAAGCTGCAGGAAGCGTTCTCGAGCGTGAAAGCCGAGCTGGGGAGAGTGGCCCTCAGGTAAGGTGCACGCCAGTCGTCGTCGTCGTGGTGACTCTTGGCGCGCGCGGGGCGGGCGGGCGGGAGGGAGTCGGTTAAGTCGGTCAAGTCCAGTCAAGTCAGTCAGTCAGCGACCGACCGCCAAATTGTGTCCTCGCGACGGGGCTGCAGTGCGCACGCGCGCTCGCCACCCCCCCCCCCACCCACCAGACTGAGCATGCGCATTCCGTCCCGAGTGCGAATTGTGGAGGCGATATTATTATTATTATTCTGATTTCAATGAATCCCACAGTGACCTCGGGTTAAGTAACGTGCGGCCTGCAATTGTTTTGCTTGCAAGTCTGCGTGCGTTGTCCCCCCCCCCCACCCCCCTGTTGTTTAAAATGAGTGTCTTTCTCCTAACCCCCCCCCCCCATTTTCTGTCATCAGCCCTATTTGTGGGTAATTCGCCTTCCAAAAGCAAACGTCGCCATTATCAGCGCCCAAATGATCTCTCTTTCTCTCTCTTTCTCTCTCTCTCTCTATGTTACTATGAAATGTTTTGGCCCCGTCGACAAATTTAATAATGATTATCATCATTGTTGTTCGGTTTGCATTTCGGATAGAACGCCTCGTCGCGTCTTCGAGACGTCCGAGAGCGCTTCTGGGAGGGGGGGGGGAGGAGGGGAGGGTTGTAAAATTTTTGTTAAAAAAAATGGAAACACGAGAGAAAGAGAGACAGAGAGAGAGAGAGAGAGAGAGAGCGCAGCCCCAATTTACTGAATTTTCCACTTGGTGCGGTCTAAATGATAAACATGGCCATAACGAACGCATACATTCGCCCACGTAGTTTTTATTTAGATGTAAATCTACCTCCCGTTTGCGTGTCCGAAATGGCGCGCGAGTGTTTTGCCCGTCAGCCGCATTTATTATTAACACCAACACCAGATTGAATTTGTCAAGTGGACAGACGGTTAACCAGTTTGAAGGTGTTTTTTTTTTCTACATCGTTTATTATTTTTACATATAAAAAGAACCAGAAGCTGCTTTTGACCCCTTTTGCTGCTGTGCGTGCGTGTGCGTGCGCGCGTGTGTGTGTGTGTGCGCGCACGTACACTGTACACAATGCGCGTTAGCAGATAAGGTACAGAATGTTCTGGAGAATTTGCGGTTTGGGGACAGAACTGTTACTGCTCTCTCGGGGCTCGGCTTTCGTTTGCACGTTGTGCGCACGCGCGCTGTCTGGGTTTTTTTTTGAGATCATTCAGAGCGTTTTTTGCCCTCAGCGGTCACTGAACGTCTTGTGAGAGCTTATCTGCTTCGGTAACCATCCCGACCTGTTATTCCCTTTCGTTTTCTGGACGTTTCTGTAGATTTACAGCTGGGCTGGGCTCACGGGTGGTTAGGGGGGGGAGTACCACCTCAAAAGTCGTGAGAGGGAGGTATCATATATAAAGGATATTTATTGACCCGAGTAGTTTTGGTTCAACTTTAGAGAAGTTTTATGTCCAGACACTCTGCTTATGCTGAAATGGCCTTATCTTCTGCTTTGTGGTAACCGGTTTGGAAAACTTCATTTGCTCATTTGCTGGAATAATGATTCCTGAATCTTACAAATAGTGGTAAACGACTTTTCCTTTCATTTCTCCCTTCATATTTCTCCTCGCCTTAGCGTTTGATTGACCTACAGTGCATAGCACACGTAGATTTTTATTACCTAGTACAGAAGTTTTTATGCTGTGATTTCTTTTTATGTTTTAGTTATGACCTGTTAATATTTGTTTTTAAAAGATTTTTTGTTGCGTTTCAGTATTTGAATCTCTGCATGCGGGTTCTAAAAATACTGCCTACATAATCGGTGCTTATTTGATAATGTCTAAAACTTAGAAATTAGGTTATTATTTTTGATGATGTAAGTTAGAATTTTTTTGCTCCATTTTCCTCCCTGTATAACTATCAGTGTTTGAGAAAAGGGATCACTGATTCATATAGCTTGAGAAATGTTGGAAATATAGCCTATTTTGATTTTGTGAACATAATTATCATTTTAAGTCTTAGGTATAGCTTTGTAATAAAGGTTGCTTTACCTTAATAGAATAGCTTCCACTTAAAAGCTTTTCTGGAGGAGTGTTGAACATTTGCCCTTGACAAATTATGGACATAAAAAAAANTTGCTTCCCTTCCCCCTTCTTGTTGCCAGTCAGAGGCACTGCTACATAGTTAACCAGTCACATTCCTGATGCCATAGAACTGAATGGGTAAAGGGTATCAATCATACGGGTAAAGGAAGAGAGGATCTGCAGGTATATAAAAATGAACTTGAAGGAGATGAGTTGTAATGATCCAATTTAATTGAAATCTATTGTTGCGGTGTATAATGGAAGGCAGATAATCTTATACAGTAGTGTATACTTTACCAACCCCTCCAGTGTTGCCCACACTGCAGGCATGGAGACCTCGTTCAGATTACAATTATTTCAACTGTTTTACTAATGGTGCTATACAAATGTAATTTGTTTTGTTATCTTTTAGGAGAGCCAAATAACTAATCATATTGAGATCCAAATGTTCTTCCTTGCCCACTTATTCAAGAAATGTAACGTTTTCTGAGACAGGGAAATACTTGTTTACGTTGCTTAACAAATAAATGGGCTTTTAATATAATATACATAACATAATGTATATTAAATACATGTACATAATATCATGTAATGTAGAGACCTGTAGCTCAGTGGTTAGAGCACTCGCCTTACAAGCGAGAGACCTGGCAGGACGAAACGTTGGGTGAGTTTCCTTACCTCCACATTCTTCTGTTTACCCAACAGTAAGTAGGAATCTGGTTGTTAGTCGATTGGCGGATCGCTTTTCCGTGGGTAATAATTCCTTCATAAATAAGCAAATAAACAAATAGGTCACTGAATCCACGACCGTGGGACACTGCTGTGTGCAATTGGCTGCCGCGTTTTGCCCACAAAATTTACAGTCAATTCCAGTATATTCTGTGAAGCGCTTTGATACATCTTGAAGACGTGATAAGACGCTACATCAAATGCAAGGATTATATTATTATTACATAACAATGAGTTTATTCCAAGCTTGTAGATTGAATGGATTTGAATTTAGGACACAATTTGGCCTCTCCGCTGTGCAACGTGGCATTTGTTGAATTCTGGTGTTTAGCGGAATTGATATTATTAACTGACTCGGGACTGTTGATTAAGATTATTTCTATATCAGTTAGGCAACAATCATGAATATTAACTTGGACTCTAACTATCTTTATTACATGAAGTAAAGTCCAGTAGTCAAACAGTACAAGGTTATTTTGGGGTAACAGTTTATGGTTAAATTAACGGATTAATTGCAGAATCATAAATGCTGACTGTACAGTTTTCAACCTAATTCATGGCAGAGTGCAGTAATTCAGTATTAACTTTCTAGATGAGTTTGAGATTTTTCAAAGAAAATTCCTATCTGAGGATTTAGATAAAACAAAGATAGCAAAAAATGAAGGATTGAGTGATCCAAAGTTCAGAGGTTGCTAATGAGTACAGTTTTAAAAACCTAATTAATAATATTAATTTATGAAATAATTGGTGGTGAAATAATAATAATAATTCTTGCATTTGGTTCCAGAGTTGTATTTTTCTCTTCCTTCAGTTATACTTCTATTTATGCTATTTCCCTAGGATGATTAAAACCTAATATTTTAGGATCCAAGGTGTCAGTTTTGGTGGGATAAGTCTCAATGACAAAAAGCTAGTGGACGATAACACAGGAGATCGGTTTGAAAAAAATCTGGAACATAATATTCTCTGACTGGCCATTTTCCAGGTCATTGTAGAACTAGGCAGACCTTGATGGGATATTTGCCCAGAGGCACGTGATGCTAATATTATGCTGTGCAGTGCTTGCATGATGTTGATCAAACAGGATCTTGTAAAATAGTCTGCCAAAACAGTGAAGTGGCATGTTCTTGCTGAGGGAGGAATAGAACTGTTTAAAAAAATTAACTTAACCTTGAGACTCTTAATAGTACAGTCCCAATACTGTAGTGCACTGTAGCGTATAGTAATTGCTCTCCTGGCTTGATTGGTATGGAGAAGCACAGTATTGCAGTTCCGATTCAACTTCTCTACTCTCTTTAGCAAGTTGTTTGTTTGAATGAATGAGACATGTTTTTGCATGGTCTGTAGAGACTTTGCGTAGAGAATGTGTGCATATAATTTTGTGGCAAGCTGATTATCACTCCCCAACTATTATGTAAAAGGCCATACGTTCAACTTAAAATGAAAGGAACATCGTTGCATTAAAGGAGCATTCTTATTTTAATAATAGGAAGAGGTCAATCAAAAAGTAAATAGGGATTTGAGCCGGTGTTTTTTTATACGGTTACTGGAGATATGGTGCGCTATACTGTAAAATGTTAGGGCCCAGGCTCATATGCCAATCCTTCCATGGTATGGAATAATGATTTGAGGTCTATCGTTTTGGGGGAAAGAATATTTGAAGGCGATGCGTTTCCCATAGGTAACAAAGTAGAGAGTATTGCTCAGATCAAGCTTACTCGTTGACATCAAAATAGTTTTGATGAATATTTAAGAGCAGGCTGATAGTTTATATCACAAGCCTATGTGAAGAGAGATTTTTTTTAAAAAGTAGACTTTTTATTTTTTCTTTCAGCACTTTTTAAGCTAGTAAAAGCAAAATGTTGGAAATCTGCTTGTGAAAGAAGATAGGTTAGCTTTGACTCTTCTGAAAGCTAGATTAGTATTTTTGAGTATGAGCAATTTATTAGCCTTTGGATTTTCCAGTTGTTTCTGTTTTTATTTGGGATTTCCAACACTTTATTTGAGCTAGTGTTTTGGTTTTGAGCCAGTGCTTTGAGGCGTCCTCCTGACGTGAAATGCGCTATACAAATGTAATTTGTTGTTGGATGTACAGTTTATGTTATTCACGTTTCTTAACTTCTTTTCCAGGTTAATTGTCAAGAAGATTGGAAGAATTCTGCTTTTCGTCAATGAGGAACTACAGGTTGATCTTCTGCCACAATCTCAAGCAACCATAGCTGGCTAAAGTATGCTTATTCACTAAGGGTGATTGTGCACAAATTAATTTTTCATTGGGTGTCCTTGCTCAAAGGTACGTTTTTGTGATTGAATTAGTGCATGTTTATGTTTTTATTACTACTTATGAATTGCTCGCCTGCACTTTCTCACCCGGTCCCAATGTTTGCAAAGTGGATAGTGGTTGGCTCGAGGCTGTGGCAGGTTTTGTAGGCTTTTTGTTTTCATCTGCTACCCCCAGGCGATGGGCTAGGAGAACCTCAAGTGGGCTGCTGACTGACGAAAATGAAGCTAGTCCCTAGGCTAAATCCAGCAGCAACTTTGATGTCCATGGTTTAGGCAGTTGGGTCATGCAATGATATATCTTATCCATGGTCTGGGTTTGGTAGATAGTTTATGGCCTTCCTCACTGTGGTGACTATTGGGCCTGGAGGTGATATGAGTTTGAACAAGTTCCCAATCAGTGGGGTGTACTTTACCAGTTTTTTTTAATAAAAATTTAAAAAAGGCCCCAGAGATTGCTGGAGTGGGATATTTGAAGATAGCGACAAAATTTGCTTGGCTTGAAATCTGAAAGGTAGTGCAGCATTACAACTGAGAGCAAGTTAACTTTTTAAAATGTTTGTTCTTTCGTACAGACAAAACAGCTGAGCTTTTTGGGCTGAGGGAAGATATGAGGAAGAGCTTCTCTCCTTCACTGAGTAACAGCAACTCATTAACTACTAACAAAATTTTTGGGGTTCCCCTTAATGAGCTACAGCAACAAGGACATCCAGGGAATGGAGTTCCATACATAGTAAAGCATATTGTGGAGTATCTGGAAGAATATGGTAAGTACATTTTTGTAAATATTTAGAACTGCACAATTGGTTTCTTCATTTGTTATGGTACCATTATGTTTCTGCTCCATTCACTGCTGCTCAGTTCAGTGGACAACAGGATAGCTTTTGGAAATTTATTTGAGGTTTAGGAAACTGACTAAAACATTTTTTTAGAAATAGCTTTGTCTTTTACTATGAGGTGTTCAAAACAGAAAAAGTAATTTTACAGTATATTGGCTGTAGGACAATTTATCTGTTAAGTTTTCTTTGTGCACCTATAATGCATTAAAAGTAACAAAGTTCCAGTATTTCTTTTCCAATAAATTTTATTCCAACAAATAAACAGAATACACGTCGTACAGAGTGAAACATGAAAATGACCCATTGTTTAGTGTGATAGTATTTTCCATTTTTCAGTGAACCATAATTTTTTAGCAACAGGCTGCAGTAGCAGTAGAAATTAGACTGCATTGTTAGAGCTTATTAAAGCTTAGCACACAATCGCTGCAAGTATTTATCTTGTGAATGGATTATCGTAATGCACTTGTGACTTTGCTATTTGTGCAAATCACACAATGTAACTCTATCCTCTACATAGGGATTATGGCATTGGAACTTTGACTTGACGATTGACTAAGTTTGATTAAACAACTGTGAATCTTGTTTTCTTATGCGTTTTTGTTGCATTTAACTTGAGTTCTGAAATCCATGGAGTTAGTCACAGTAACCGTTTGGTCGAATCTGATTACCTATGGAATCATACATTATAGAGGAACATCTCTACATTATTAGTGTCTCAGATGGTGCTGTTTTTAAGACTGCAGGGAAGAAATTTCACCTTGCCCCTCCATAAAATTTTCCCCCTTCTTCTATAAGCGACATCTCCTGTTTGGAGACGAGTGTGAGCAGCTCTGGTAGCTCACAAAAGGGGTGATTTTTGATTTGAATCTGAATCATATGTGTTGGTTGACTGTTGATTGAGATTTATTGAGGGGCATCACAGTGTAGTCTGGCTCTGATGTCTGTGTACGTGGACTTTCCAACAGGACGCTGCTGGATAGTCATTAGGTTGAGAACTGTAGCTGATTTTTCTTCTCTGGTTTGTTAATCTGGCAGTGATCAGTTAACTAAGCCAGAGATCAAATCTCAGTCCTCTGCAGCTCAATACCACACTATTGCAAACATTGGGAAATGGGGGAAGATATTCATGTAGATGTTCCTCTTTCCTTATTGTGTTTATCCGTTTTCCCCCACCCCCCCCCTTCCTCTCTCCGCCGCCTGCCCTCCCCCCAAAAAAAACTTGTATGTACAGTGACATTGTAGAAGGCTCTGGATTGAGCTTTCAAAATTTCAATTGAGGAGTATTGTGCTCAGTGGCTCTCTCCAGCCTGACTTTGATACTTTTAGAACCTAAAACCCAGATGAACTGAGACACCAAAATTGTACAGATTGACGCCCTATAATATTGATTTTATTCTGATGAATTTAGTTATTTACAAATACATTACACTTTTCACTTGAAGTTATTGGTTTTCAGTAAGTATTTAAAACTTGAGTTTTTTTAACGGCTAAAATAATTTGGGGTGAAAGAAAGAATATCAAACTAATTTTCCAGATTCATATTAAACAAAATCTAAATTAATTTATTGTGGCTCTCCTCCTGTATGAGTTGATTGAGAGGTTGTGCTAGTATTTCATTCGGGCATTCATTATTTTGTATAATCTAAATACAAATTGATAATGCTTACAATGCTTCTCAATTTATAATATTTGTGTTTGTAAAATTCCATAGAAGACTTACATTTTGATACTTCCATATTGTTTCAAATATTCAAATGATTTATAGCATAGATGTGGTTTATAACTGGAACAATAGCTTCAAGGAATTCTGTGTAACCTAAACCCAGTGTCCTAAATTGCTAATCAGCAAATTAAAAAAATAATATTTATGATGCTCTGGAATGACGTAATTGTAATCCAAACACAAATTAGATCAAATTTGCATTGAAATCAACTTTTGATTTAGCAAAATTGATTTCTTTAGCTCCGTTTTGCCTGCAATTTGACAAAACTTTTTTTTGAAAATAATAAACCGGGAGGCGTGGAACAGGAAGGACTTTTCAAAGTAAATGGAAGCGCAGAGATGGTGGAGTGGCTGCGACAAAAGTATGACAGCGGAGAAGAAGTGGATTTGGTTAAAGAAGCAGATGTATCTTCAGCTGTGAGCCTCCTTCGACTGTTCCTACAGGAACTTCCAGAAGCTGTCATCCCTGCTAGCCTGCACACTCACTTAATGCAGCTCTATCAGGGTAATTTTATTGCTTACTCCTTACTGTTGTATAAATGTTTGAACTTCTGGCATTAAAGACATTGAGTGGTCCTGTACATTTCTCTTATTCAGGGATAAGGAATGAGTATTTGGTAAGTGTTTAAGACGGCAGTGTTTTTAACCAGCCTTGAAATTTTGTGTTCTAAAGGAGAGGGATCTTGATGCTGGGGACTGGAACAGCTTTCCAAGTTGGGCAAGTTACTACGGAGGTACTCTCATTGCCTGGCTCAGGGGTAGCACTCTCGCCTCTTGAGTCAGAAGGTTGTGGGTTCAAATACAACTTTGGACTTGAAGTCACGTAGTCTAAGATGACACTCCGAAGCGGTGCTGGGGATGCATTGCATTGTCGGGGTCCTGTCCTTCGGATGAGACTTAAACCGAGGTCCCATCTGCCTGAGGACGTTAAAGATCCATGGCACTGTTCGAAAAGAGAAGGGAGTTTCTCCTGCTTTCCTGGCCAACAATCAAAATTGAAAATTGGTCACTCGTTTCACGACTGTTTGTGGGACACTGTTGTGCGCAACTGGCTGCTGCATTTGCCTACAAATATACAGTCAAAAATCCTGTGAAGCATTTTGAGACGTCTCTCCGACGTGATAAGCCACTATACCAATGCAAGGATTATTATTATGAATATAGTAACCATATAGAGCAGGAGCATCAAACATACGGCTCGCAGACCGCTGCCGGCCTGCGGGGTGATATTTGGCGGCTTATTTAGTTCCTAAAATCTCAAGTCGTCATCGCTGCCTGGGCACTTCCGGATCAGCAGGCTGTTCATCAGGACGTTCTCACCTTCGATGGACATTAGTCAAGACAACAAATCACCTGTCTTAAAGGAACCAGCCTTTTCATTGAGTTTCACTTCACCCCCTCATGGGATATTTTCACCTGCCACTTTTGCAACAATCTGGCTCTTTCAGGTAAGAGTGCTACCAACTGAGCCTAAAACACATAATTTTGCAGTGCTTTCCATTCAGTGTTTTTAAATTAAGGAATCTTGAGTAATGACTCCTTTTGGTAACTGGGCGTGTGTTGTGTTTGTCGTTCTAACTCGAGGGAATCTCACTCCGAAAATAGATCGAGTTAGAGTGAGCTTCTTGTTAGTTGGCGCCATGGGCTTCTGGATTTTTTAATCTACACACAATCACTATAGATAATTTCAAGTATAGTATTAAGTAACAGTAAAACTCATGCAAGTCTAATCTATATAAATTGTATACGCTCAAACAATACGATAGAAAAGTATGTGAAACCTATTGTAACTTGGTGCTTTTTTAGCCATAAGGTGAGTGAATAAAGGTTATTATTCAATTGCAGTACTATTGTATTACACTTTAGCAAAATTGTTTCATGTATTCAACACATTATTTTATCAATGAAGGAAAGAAACTACGAACACTGGCTTTCAAAAGGTCATGCCCATTATCACCATTTAACTAGATCCTTAGTTATGTTTGATCAGGTACAGCAGTGATCGATTTTGACAGTTTACATAAGTAATGAATTAAGAGTGATATCAAGATTTTGTGTGTGTGCAGTAAAGCATGGTTGGCCCTTTAGAGGTTTAATGTCTTCAAAAGAAATGTAAGAAACTATTTTATGCGAAATTTCACACTATACACCACCAAGTAAATAGCTCAGAACAATAAAATCATTTCATTGCATCTTGGGCTGTTTTGGCCACTGAGACTAGTTTTGGTTCTAGTAAATTCTTCCTTGATCTCCAGCGTTGCTGGTGTGAATCCTCCCTGTGACCATTTGATGCAGTTACTGATTATACCATTGTTACATGATTATTTAAGTAGGAAGTCTACTTGAGTCTGCTTAAAGGCTGGATGGAACTATTCGCAGAAAGGCTTTCCTTGCTTCAAGGATGTTGGCTTTATTCTTAAATGTGTCTTGTGTTCTTAAATGTGTTCTTATTCCTAAAATCCTTGGTTCCTGTTCTACTACTTCATCTCCAGAGCATATAGAAAATAATGATAGAAGTGAATTATTCAAAGAAGGTTTCAGAAACTATTGACTATGTTTTGTCTTGAATAGTCAAGGAGAAGCTCTGGATAATGCATTGATTAAGGATTGCTCAACATTTGAGTTTGGCTGCTGTGCCTAATGCTGGTTTGAGTCATGGAACCAGAGAGTTTAATTCTGTGATGTGGTCAGGAGGCTATTCTTTTAGGGAGGGTTTTTCTTTATTGGCATTGACGCATGGCAAGAGAGAGTTTTGGTAACTGGTGCCATCCGTTGATACTATTCACACATTAGGAATGGATTTCCATTGAGGAGTTTGCAAAAGAAATTGTTTGTGATAATGTTATTCGCTATCCCCTCTGTCCAACATCTAACTAGCCAAATGGTTCCTGTCCTTTCCAGTATCTGCTCTGAAAGGGCATCGATCCAGCACTAGTTTCTGTATTTGTGGAGTTCCACTTATGAATTCTCTACTCGTAAACAAGGAGAAATAAAGATTCTCAAAATTGATGGTTGATTATTAACATTCAGATTAGTTTTGGCTTTAAAGACTTGTATGCCCAATGGAAACACTTAATGTCCATTAATGTTGAGACTGCAGTAATGTGAAATGGCAGCAATTATATGCTTGAAGTTTATGCTTTTGGTTTCCTTTTGAACTAACGGGTTCTAATGTACTTAAGTCTTGTTTACTGAAAATATCATTTTGCAGCACGTAGTTTGGTGGTAAAAGGTTCAGAAAATTGTACATGGCACACTTACTTTGTCTTCTTTGTTATGCTTCTTCAGTCTTATCCATGTCACCAAAATTTAGCCAGATTTAATTTGATGAAATTTGGGTGCCAAGATTCATCAGCTGTGCAAAGATTTATAGTGCACTATGTAAATAGAATATAACTTGTTTTAATAGTAATTAAAGAAGGTTGGAGCTGGCTCTACGTATGCAGTTTCCACTCTTGGACCATATGAGGAGACTCCTCTTGAAACTGCCTGGAAAGCAAGTTGTGGCACTTATGTGGTTTCAGCTAAGCACTATTCTATTGATCTGAAAGCTGTGGATAATGAATCCTTAAGTGCTGTAAACAAGTCTTAAGATATTTGTGTATTTCTGATGAAGATTGAATGAACCAAAAGAATGCTAGATTAATTACAGTACCTATTCTTGAAAGATAGTCAGCAATTACAACTTAAGTTCTTGTTCAGCTTAATAATTTTATTTTTTTTCTGAATGACTTGCTGCTTGGCACTGGAAATGTGTATTCCGTTGCATTGTTGCACTTAATGCATCTATTGCTGTTTGTGTATAAAAAGAAGATATTGTGATTGAGACCATATGCACAACTTTTGGGGATGAGAGAATGGATAAGTAATAACCTTATCAGAGATGCACAAGTTTTTTTTAAATAAGGTAGATCTTTTCGCTTTTTCTCCTCCCCAACCATAAATGGTAACTCATATTAGGGCAGTATGTGGATATTGTACTTTGCCTAAAGAATGACAGCCAAACTAAACTTGGATCAGTTGCGTCACTATTGTTCTACCCTGTATTAATTGAATAAGGCCAGCTCAATCCCTCGATGGTACTATTAGAAATCATGCTTCAAATGTATTTATGTATTGTACATTCGGTTGATTTTAAAACCTGTTGCAAATTTTTACATTTAAATGTTTAATAACTTGTCAGATTTTTTAAATTAACATTGTGGTCCAACAAGAAATCTCTTTAATAAGGGAAACTTGTAGACAAAGGAGTAACCATAAATGGTATTCTTGAGTAAGTTGGTTTGTGTTTGCACATAGAATTGCAATTTGATTTATAATTTTTTCTTGAAAGAATCCAACATCTAGTGTCATCGAAAACATACTTAAAAATAGGTGCTTTTCAGAAAAATGGGTGGGTAGTTTATGAAAACAAGAAGATGGATTAATTAATTAATGTATGAAACCAATTTATTTTTTAAATTGTCATTGCATGTGTATTTTTCAGATAACAGTATTGAGGATGACTTTGGAAGGAAGTTGAAATGCTTCTTACAACAGCTTCCAGCTGTTAACTACAATCTTCTGAAGTTCCTCTGTAGATTTCTGGTCAAGGTAACATCACAAAAGGAAGAGAAATGGACTGCAAGCAGTCTTGCTGCTGTGTTTGGCCTGGATGTTTTCCAGTAAGTATACACGTTTAACAATGGTAGACTCTCTAAGATCTGGTTGACTACATTTATAATGATTTCATTCTTAATACATGGATGCTTATTTTCTTATAATATCTGATTTCTCTGACCTAGTAAACTTACCTTTTTATTTCCTGACACACTGTTTGTCTGACTGTTTGGGCCTGTAGATAATATTTGACAAAACATTGGTATATTTTGATATTTTTAACCTAGCAGATATGTGACTGGATTTTTTAAAAGGCTGTGTGGGGGTGGTCTTTGTTTGATTAAAAAAAAACAGTGGTTAAATGTGGACTCCTTTGGACTTTAGAAACCTATTTGGTGTGTTGCTTGAAATTTTCAGCTTTGACTGCAATGCACCTACATGCAATCAAATCACATTACATACTTTGCATTTGATGTTGGGCATTATAATGTTATTGAAAGTCTTGAGTGCTTCTCAGGGTTTTGCTGTGAAGTGTAATTACTGTTTTATATTTCATATTTTAACATTATACAATGCAGGAAGGTTGTAAAATCTTGACTGGCCACCAGTTGTGACCGTTACCCTATCATATCTTAATATATTTCATAACTGCTGCTCATAACTTCACACAACTGTTTTTAAATCGATTGTCTTGGGTAAAACATTGTTAAAAGGTATCTGGCTGAAAAACTCCATGGTGCAATGAGTCACTGTTTTTTGGAGACAAACTTTGAAGCTAGCTATTTGCACCATAAGCCCCTGTAACAACTACAGTATACCAATGACCAATTAATGGGGAACATTGTTGGCCAGGACACCAGGAGAAACATTCTTCTGATTTTGGGTAGTAATTTGAAGGTCTTAATGTTCATCTGAACAGGACTTCTAATAACAAATTGCACACATGTTTAAGTTATATATAATATATTTTATATATATGTATATATATATATACATACGTATATGTAAGTGGCTTTCATATTGTGAAGATGTCCATCATTTCTAAGTAGGAATCCCCACATCCTGACATTCTGTGGTGGCACAATGACTATTTTACCAAATGTTAGTAGCTTTGTGTCTACATTCATTCGGTATTTGATTCTCGCTGCAAAGCTTTGAGATTAATCTTTGAATTTGGTATAGTGTCCTATTGCGTCGAAAGAATGTCTCAAAGCTCTTCCTAGGAGTTACTGTGAAACGGAGTGACTGTGTATTTGAAGGCAAATGTGGCAGGATAATTGTGCACAGCAATGTCCTACAAACAGCCATGAAATAAGTGACCAATTTTATTTGGGGGTTTGTTGGCCAGGACACTGGGAGGAACACCCTTCTCTTTTTGAATAGCGCCATGATCTTTAATGTCCACCTGAACAGATGGGACCTCGGTTTAACGTCTCGTCCAAAGGAATGCACCTCTGACAATGCAACACCCTTCACCCTCGCCAGCGCTGCATTGTATTGCCAGCTTGTCTTAGACTACTTGAGTTCAAGTTCCAACATGGAATTCAGTACAAATTCAATGCATTTCAATACTCGTTAAAGGTGTTGCATTGAATTCCATACTGTTAACAAGAGAATTGAGATTTAGAATCTGTTTACTTGCAAACTGAGAATTTGACATGTTCAGTGTTCATTAAGTAAAAGTATGAGTGCCATAGATACCTTACAGGGACAAAGCACTTTTTGATTGTTTAGTGAACCTTGTTAAATGTTTGTTTTACAGTATTTATACAGATGTTGAAGATATGAAAGAACAAGAAGCAGCTAGCAATATAATGTCTGAACTTCTGGAAAATTACAATGAGTTTTTTGGTACTGAAGAATTTCTATCTACCGACATTTCAAATTCATTTCATGTTGAGGTAAACTTAAGTTTAACTAATTTGTTTTGCTTATTAGGACATTTACTTTTCCACCAAAATCTGTTTGCTCAGTTCCTCATTGGGCATTGCTTTTACCATTGGAATGATTGAAAGGCTGTGATTGTGAGGTTAATAATTAGTAATCTACAAATCTTATAAAACTACTGTTCTATCAAAATATTGTAATTTTGCTGGATGTTTGTTTGCCTATCGAAACGTATTTACTTCAGAGATTTATTTAAAAAAAGTAATTGTGAAGTAGCGAGGTTTTTTGGACGCTGCAGTACCAGAATTAGTTTTCAAAGGAAAAGGGAAGCTTTATTAGGTGGAACAGAACTGTTCAATTGGAAAGTGTAATGTTTTAATTGGATAAAATGTACGAACATTTAAGTTTGAGAATGTGTTTGTATTATTTGAAATGGCAGTAGGGGGGCATGCATGATCATTGGGAATGTTGCAGTGCTGCAGAGTAAAAGTAAATTAGAAGTAGGCTTAGATAATGAAAATAACTGGGCTTCAACCCTCATTTTGAGAAGGTATTGGCGGTGTTCTTGAAAGGTCATCCTACTCCAACTCATCGCTTTCCATATTAAAAAAAAACTTTCCTGATGCAGTGGATATTTGACAATTTTCAGGCTTGTGTAAAGCAGATCATTGTGGCGCTAACCTGACCAGTCTTTGTAGTGATTTGGTTGAGGTTCTGCTTTAAATATTTAATGTTTAAAGATTAGAAATTTATATCTGTTTAATTTTTTCTTCTTATACTGAAGAATATGGAAATGAATGTACACTATATTTTATCCATAAAAACTCTTCAAGACATGTGTTTCAGATAATATCACATAAATATTCTAATTTCTCATGCTAGGTGACTAAATCGTGCGAACAAGTTGAAAAAATAGAACAAACTGATGTATTACCTGAAGATTGTGAGGAAACACTGTACAAAAAGATGGGCACTGAGCATTTGGAGATTACTAAGAATATTACTGAACCTGACAACATAGTTTTGTCAGCAAGGTATATATTACTTACCTATTGAAGAATTCTGATATGCACATTGAAACCAGGCTTTCACTTTTCACCTTTTCTTGTTGACAAGGGAGACACTTAACCACCTATTTTCAAATTGTGCCGTGGGATCCTTAACATCACCTAGAAATTTACAGCACAGGAGAAGGCCATTTGGCTCTTTGTGTCAGGCACATGAATAGGCAATTGAGAAATGGCATCATTTCCAGTGTGCACACAGTATGCAGAAAGCTGGAATCTGTTCTCGCAGGCCACAGAGAACCAGTTATAGACAGACTTGTACAATGGCGAGCTATGTTATAAAATGGGGTTGTTCTGTATTTTGAAGTTGAACCACCAGTTCTCCCTCCCTCTGCTACTTTTTCTATTTCCCTTACTGTGCACAACTCTCTATCTCTAATATACTCGCTGAGCTGGACAAAACGGATGAAGGAGCCAGGTATGGCCCTCAGGCTTCTAGATTGACATCCGTGCCCTATATTATAACTTGCTATTTGGTAGCATTTGGTGGAGTGATGGCCACCATGTTAGTGGCTGGTAATCTTATTTAGCTGACTTGATTTTTTGTAATTTACAATTAAATTGTGTTGTTCAATCTGATTTAGCAGCATGCCTATCTTCTGTAGCTCATGTCTGCTAATGAGACTAATGTGCATAATAATAATACTTGCATTTGTACTTTGTTGTTGCAGCGCTCCTGTATCCCCTTCAAACCGAGTGCCTGCAAATACACAGTAAGTGCTCACTGTATTGATGAAAGTTTTAACTGTGTATATATATCGCTGCTCAAGGCAATGACTGAATATCAAGAACATATAAGAATGCTTGCTTTAATAAGAGTGGCTTTCACTTCTCTATCAAGCTTAAGACATACAATTATCAGAAAACATGACAAAAGCTTCACCGGTTTTTGGCATAACATTTGGTAACGAAACACCAGAGATATTTTGGACTTTTAAGAGTTTTAACTTGTAGAATAATAATTCAAGGTAATAGTGAACACATGACATATTTTGACTACAAAATAAGTCTGTCTGTATTGTTGCTGTATTTTGTGGGCAAAATAAATAGTGTGTTCACATGTTCACGGTTGATATATCAGTTAATGAACATTCAAAACGTGCCCAATGTTTGCCATGAATAAAAATCATGACAAGGTAACCAAAAAGCAATGTTTAGAATTCTTTTAAAATGTTTCAAAATCATAATCACTTGTTCGCTTTTATTTATATATCTGCTACTGTCCAACTTTCTTCAGGATTCTGGAAAGGACAATTCGAGCAGTTGTGGAGCAACACCTCTTTGACCTGCAAAGCAATATTGATCAAAACTTCAAACCATCGCAGTTCAGTACATCATCTAATGATCTTGTCCAATACAGTGGATGCGATGTGGAAAGGCCCAGGAAAACGTAGGAAATTATCATTGCTATGTGATCTATACACTGCAAGAGTATCAGAATTAAGCCTTATTCTTTCTGTGCAGATGTTCTATCTATATTTGGTGATCTTGATAATATCATAGTTGCATGTTTTTAATTTGGGGCACCAAGAGAGAATTCTCTTTGACTGTTACATTAGTTCCTTAGTGTTCGAATGAACAGGTAGACAGGACCTTGATTTAATTTCTTATCTGAAGTATAGCATCTCTGACAATGCAACACTCCTCCAGTGCTACACTGGTACATCAGGCTGGAATGAGCTCATTGCCTTAAAGTTGACATGCGTCTTGAACCCAAACCAGAGACGAGAATGCTGCCAACTGAGCCAGCTGGCACATATTTAGGAGTGTATTTTAAATAATCTTGTGAGGTTTACATTTGGGATGTCAGCCTGCGTCCTATCGAATGCATGGTTTATTTTAGTGTGTAACAAGGTTCTTAATCATCCTTTGATTCTCCTAATCCTGATTTTTGTTTTTCCCTGTCCCCTTCCACCTGTGGCCTTGGGTATGAGTCTTGTATCAGGATTTGAGCTCATAAACTAGGGTGTCATATCATTGCATACTAAGCAAGTGCTATATTGCTGTATCTGCCATCTTTCACATGCGACCTATAATTGGCCAGGTGGATATTGGGATCATGTTACACTGTTTTGAGGAATAGCAGCATTTTCCATTGTCAAGGCCAATGTTTCGCTCGCATCCAAGTTCACTGAACAGATTATGTTTGGCCATTGGAGGGTGATGCAAGATTAAATTTTACACTGACTCGACGTGCGCTATAAGTATGATAAGTAGTGGTATATTTCAAATAACTCAAACCATTTGAGTGGGGAGGAGTTTTTTGTGGGAAAGAAAAGAATGTTAAAACGTGATAAGGCACTATATCAAATTATTGTTATCTTCTAGTCTGGTGTAGCTCAGTTTCGTTTTCTCTAAATTCTAGGAATGATCTCGTTGAAGAAAATACTAACATTGATGTTAGTAAAGTGACCTTTCTAGAAGATTTGCAGCATACTGATAGTTTGGAAGGCAAAGATGAGCAACCATCACTGCATATTCCTACCTTGGAAGCACTGAATAATGATTCCTATCTGGATGCTGGAAATGTGAGCAAAATGATGTTTATTTGTTATTATTTATTTTGTTTATTTGCACATCAAGGAAGCTAAAACCTCACAATTCCCAATTAATTGGTTACAGTCTTGACTGTTACAGATAAAAGTATACAACTCTAAATCGTTGTACTCTATTACATAATATTGTCAAACGATGACCTTTGTGTACATTCCTTTCTCATCTTTAAATTGTTAATCCAAAATAGGCTGTGGCAATCACTGAGGCAAGGTACATGACTTTATTAAGTCATCTAATCCCATTTTCACACATTGATTGTCAACCTGCAATTAAAATGGCTTTCTTTCTTCGAGAAATGACTTCCTTCTTCCTCCAAAAGCTGTGCATCAGACCCTGTCAGATCAGAGTTTAATCTCTCTTATATACATATCCTTCTTAACCTTTTATATTCTTTGGATCTTAAACTTATAACATAGTCATGGTTTCAGCAAGAATTCCAGACATGAGTAATTTGTGGTTCATAAACCGCCATATTTAAGCCAATGATGGCCTTCTCAAAACTTTCGTCCAAAGTAGTATTGCTGAATTTCATCTATCGTGGGAAATCTTGGTCTATGCATTTCTGCTTTTTATTTACTTTCTCGTCATTCAAATACTTTGCCCTAGATTAATGTGATAAACCAGTTCACAAAATGTTGTTACTGTTTCTAGCCTGTTGAACAGGTATTCTCAGATCTCCAGTTTCTGAACAGATTTCCCAAATGGTTAATGGAATGTATTTAATGTTTTTGAAAGAGGCCGTCGCAAAGTGTTACATATACGGCCAACCAGCCATTTCTTGTGCCGATCTTCAAAGTGTCACTCTGTATAATTGCAGCTTGCAGCAATTTCTTATGCTTTTCAACCCAACTTTGGTTGGATTCTCTAGTTGAGATTTTAAATGAATCTGTGCTGCCTAAAATTTAGGGCATATTGATGGTAACATTCAAGCAGATTTGTAGCGATTGTCTAGAAATGGTAAAATGAAAAAAAGTGAGATTTGCAGCTTGTAAAGTCCTTAACAATTGCATGGAATCCACATAACACCTAATACGCGAGAGACCTGAGTTCAATTCCAGGCAGAGGGCGAAACCTCGGGCAAGTTTCCTTACTCCACACAGAGCCTAATAATAATCCCTCCAAAACCAAAAACAATAATTAAAAAATTGGTCATTTTCAATCTACGACTGTTTGTGGGACATTGCTGTGCGCAATTGGCTGCCGCGTTCGCCCACAAATATACAGTCAATTCACTTTACAGTGTGTTCTGTGAAGCGCTTTGGGACGTCCTCCCGACGTGAAAAGCGCTATATCAAATGCAAGGATTATTATTATTATTATTATTAATATCTGGTACATCGAGGGTGTAACCATATCAAGAGTGAAAATGTAATTGATGTAGATTATTGCTTTCTATTTGGACTTTTTGACTTTTCTATTTTATTTTTGAGGTTGTGAAAAACGTGTCCCTTCCCAAAGATCCTCTCCTGAATACATCTAAGGAAAGCTTAGATAATGGACCAATTGTAGATGAAGAAAACAACATCAAGGCTGAAAGGTATGAAATTGCAGATTTCTGATTCTTATTGAAATTAGAAATGGAGTAATGAAATGGCACATTGGATCCTAAATACAGTTGTATTTGTGTAATCAAAGTGTTTTATATAACAAATTAGTTTTATTCCACTTCTGAACAGAACAATGTCTTATATGTAAAAGGAATATGGTCTTTTCTTCAAAATGTGCTGCTTATATAATATGTGTTCTGTTAATTTTTGGTTACTTTACAAGGAAAAGTGGAAACCAAATTATAACTTGATCAGCTATTTTGTCTAGAGTAGCACAAATAGTTATTGGACATAGACAAATTTGATTTTAGAAATTATGGAATATATTCTTTTGAGTTTGTAAACTAAGGAGAATGTTATATCCTTTTTTACCCCAGACAAGAAAGTTCCTCGGATTCTGAAACTGACATCGATTTCAAATCAACTTTGGTGAGTAAAACTCAACGTTCTTGGTCAGCCGGGCGTCTGACACTTGCAGAAATCCTTATCATGGGTTGGAACATTAACTACACAAGGCATCAGACATTCGAAAAGGCTATAAACCTGGGTCAGGTTCCATTCCCAGGGTGATCGTCAAACATTGTAATTGTCACATCTGTGAGAAAGTAAGTCTTGAAGGATATGTGTACAAAAAATAACTACATAGTGTAGATCTTAATCTCGCCAAACTCCAACAAATTACCCACATTGTAAATCACCTGTTTCTATGACATGATTGCCAATAAGGTGATGAACTGAAAGTAAATAAGTTTCCCCTCTCCATCTTCTGTGGGAACTTCATTTCCAGTAATAAAAACAAAATAGACACAATTTCTTTATTTCTACCTGTAGTAAGTAAAGTAGCAACTGAATATGGAAGATTGCTTCTTATTTCTCAATAAATTAAAGGCCTACGTTTATCTACTTTGAAAACTATTTTGTTGTAGAGATAAGTATCATGGATATTGCTGGAGTATGTGTATTAAATATCAGTATGCTTTAGGCTTAGAACTTTCCCCTTAATGTGCAGATAATGTTTCTTGTTTTGACAGCAAACAGATTTAACAAAAAACAAATGAACATTTTTTTAATCCTATTTTCAGGGTTTCGCGACTGGAGTTTACGATTTAAATGCTAACACAGAGTCTGATGTACCAGCACGTAGGAGTGTTTCTTTTCGGGCAGATAAAGTACGACCGGAAATTGCTCCCCTTGATCTGAAGAAGGTGGCTGAGACATGCGACTGGGAAGGTAATGGATCCATTACAGAACATAAACTAACATGAAACGTGCATTGCCTTTAAGTCATCTGGATTTCAAAATGTTGTTGGATATCAATTTTATAGGTCATCATGTGAAGCCCAGAAGCAGATCTTTTAGTTTTAATTTCTCTCTATTGTCTTTTTTTGCTTAGTATGCTTCATGTTTATGCTCTATGCTCTGCCCCACTCACTTGCAATTTATGCTCTGCCCCACTCACTTGCAGTTGAACCAATCTCTTTGAAGTGTTTTGTGTTGAGTGTTGGATCTATTCCCTACATTTTAATATTTTCTGCTGTGGATTTTTCTGCCATGTCATGCAGTAATTTTGTATGTTTTTCATCTTCATGGAAGTGTTTGGCTGTACCATTTAGTTAGATTACATGACCTTAGACACTATAATTTCTCACCCCCCTCCATTTCATGGGCTGTACCTTGAAAAAGATAACTAAGATTTTTTCAGTCTTAAGAACTTAAGCACATAAGAATTTGTTAGGCGAAAGAATACCAAGGTCCATCTAGTTCCCCCTCCACCGACATTGCAGTCGCTTGACATGTCATGTCCCAAACTATACTGTATCCAGAGAGATTATTTTCTAGCAGAAATCTGTCTAGTTTGTTCTTGAAACAAACATTTTTTGTTTCCCTAGGGAGCCTGTTCCATAAGTCATTACTCGCTCATTGAAGTAGTGTTTCTGTCTTCATAAGACTATTAGAGATTTGTGATTCCTCTATTGAAAGTACGTTGTTAGACAGACGGACAGATTAAACTTGTTTTTTGCTGCAGGATGGATTTGGATTTGAGACCAAAACCAAACAATAAACCTTTTTCGGCACTGGTATTGAAATTTGAACTCGCTTGAGAGAAGGAATGATCACTGATTGTGCTTTCTGTTTTACCTTTATGTGTTTGATGGGGTGTCTGACTGCTTGCTGCTCACACTGGTGTTTTTTTTACCGTTTTTTCATTCTATTAGCGCCATGTACAATCACTTTTCCCTTCATTGATTTCAAAACAATGCATCTTCAAAGAGATGGGAATGGTAAGTATGCTTTGCCATCGATCTGTGTTCAATCAACCAACATTTAAAAAAAAATCTTTCTACTCTCATCTGAACTCTTTGTTCCATTCAGTGTTTTGTGTTTGAATTTTCACTCTGCTCAAGTGCTTATTTTAATGAGACATTTTCCTTTAGAAGGTGACTTTAATGCTTGATTTTACTAACTTGAAAGTGGTTTATTGAATATTATACGAATAGTCACCCATTTTAGATTTCTTATGTAAAATCTGTTGGTAGAATTAGGGCGATGTTTTTTCCCGAAGAAAACGTAGTGTGAGTAAAACAATATTTTTCTGTTTATTAAGCTGGAGGAGAATAATAATTGTACTTACAGTGGTATGTTCATTTAGCTTTTAGTGCAAGTTGCACCTTAATTGAAAATGTTGTTCTCCAACATATTGAACATATTTAAATTAAGAGCTGTTTGGGGCGATAAGAATGCAACTCGTGATTTCAGCATCATGTTTTAAGACTTTTAAACTTATGATGTGAAAACTTTTAAATGTGCTTGATCCCATTTCCATTTGTTAAATTGTGATTCAACAACCTGTGTTTTGTTTATCCTTCAACAGATCCTGTTCCTGCATTCAAATCGTGGCAGGATGAATATGAGCATGAGTTGGGGGAAGCACAACTTTCCCCGCAGGCAGGCCGACTGACTAGCCACCCGCTGGAGGAAGATCCACAGCCCATGCTGTGTCGTCGTTACCTCAACTTTGGTCACAGCCAGCGCTTTCTTCGGGAACCTGATTCATTAATCTCATTGAAAGGACCAACCTCCTTCAGGTAGGACCACTTACAGTGTTGGAATCAACTTATTTTTTATTTTCCCCAAATTCTGCCTTTGCTCAGACACGTTTCACTGGACGAGCAGTTTGTTTGTGGGGATAGACCAATGGTTGGTTAAATAATAATGTTATTCACTGTTATTATGTTTCCAGACCTCGAAGATCATCGTTTGATTCCAAAGATGAAGAAAAGGAAGAGCAGACACGTTTACAGCTCACCAAAAAATTACAGAGCATCAAAAAGAAAATAAAGTTATATGAAGATCAGTTTGAAAAGGAGAGGAAGTATAAGGTAAGATTTTATAAAAAAGTATATAAAATTATTTTAATATTGGGGCTGAGATCACAGCAGAGACGTCTTGTGTGAGATTAATTAGTTATTCATTGCCCTGTGTAGTTACTAAAATTCCATTGAAAATTCACTCACAAAATTGGATTGTTGTTAAATAAAATAATGTCATTGCCATTTCTCCACTTTTAGCTAAACAGGAAAGATGGTTTCAACCTTTTCAAGCCAAGATTTTTTTTAACATAAATATGTTCGATTTCATTTGCAGCCATCCCACAGTGATAAGGCAGCAAATCCGAAGGTTTTGAAATGGATGAACGAACTGGTCAAGCTGCGCAAACAAATGAAAGGTGAAGACCCCAGTCACTTATTTTTTTCCAAGATCTGTATATCCCATTGTATGTGGCCATTCTGTCTATTGAAACATGTCTCTGCAATTGTGTAGGTTCAGGTTTTTATAGAGATAACCTTTTGCCATCTTTGTGAAAAATCTGTGTTTGGCAAAAAAAAAGTTTATAAAAAATGTAACTGGGAGATGAATTGTTGGAAAGTGCATCATCTCATCATTTTTGTGGTGGCATATAGCGACAACAATCCACTGCAGCTCTCTGCTTCTCTTTCCTTACCAAACAAAAATGATTTTCAAACTTTGTCATGAAGACAAGCCCCCTCTTTAAGTTTCCAAAACAAATTAGATTTAATTTCCATCTGTGGAAGTTAGGAACAGGATTGGATCATTTTGCCCTTTGGGCTTGCTCTACCATCTTATTAATTTTCATCTTTCCTAATTCCATCTCTTCCCCCACCCACCCACCCGTGCACACACGCACGCACTCACACACACTTCCTCTCCATGACCTCGCTCTCAGGTCTTGGGAGTTCAACTTTCTGTGCCAATCATTGTTGCAAGTTTTCAGTTCCTATAACATGTTGTTAAAGCACAGAAATTACAGTAATAAAATTATTTGGATGTCAAAGTGCAGCTTTATTACTGTAATGTCTACAACTACAAAAAAAACCTAAAAGAGCTTTAGCATCCATGGCTCTGTCCCTTTTGCCCCATTCATCTCTTATTTTATTTAACTGTACATTTACTTTACACTTACTTTAACTGTACATTTATTTCTAACTAATATAACCCATTCTAAGTATTCTTTCCTTTCTTTCCTAATTTTAAACTTAAAACACTTTACTTGTTTTTCTCAGCCTCTTTGGTACCACCGTCCATTTTGGAGGTGGAATCAATACTGAAAAATTGGCCTCTGGTTGGCTGAAGACCAGTTCTCAAGGTCAGTTTTTCAGCCAGTTGAGGTCTAGAAGTCTTAAAAAAAATTGACATGGTTGTCTCTGTGAATGTGTCCAAATTGTTGTTTGAATCAAAGTAAAAGCACGATCACTGGATGAGTTGTCTCATCTGTGGTGCTGGCAGTGTGATCAATCGTGCCTGGATGAGAGAATTCATCTGGCATTGTTAAGGTATTAGCACTTAAAATACCAGACTGTATTAAAATTCTGATCAACTGTATTCCTATTGACCCGGGCCTTTATCAATTGGCACTAAATCAATTGATCAGAATGAACTAGAACAAGCAACCAGTAAACAACCGAAGAGATCTACACCCACATGTTTCCCTTTGTCTTTTCATGTCAGAGGCAAAATCCCGAACGATTGAAAAAGATTTAGAAATTTTACCTCAAGCACGGCCCCGTAGCAATACCCTACCCAAAAGTTTTGGTTCCTGTTTGGAACACGAGCGTGGAGACGCACACCACAGAGAAACACCCGGAAAAGAAGCCAAGCCATCAATGGAGGCAACATTGGAAGCTATCTTAAACAGACTGAAGGAAAAGCGAGCTGAGGAGGACTGGCCAGAAGATATCAAGGTACGTGCAACTAATTGAAAAGTTATTTCCATCTGCAATGGGTTGGGGTGGTGGGGGGTGTTGCAATCCTGGAAATCCCGATCCCTTTGGGTAATAATGCCCCTGAAATCCCCGGATTCACTGAAGGGAATCCTGGCAATTTCGGGATTGTATATCGGCTGATATACAATCCTAGGTGCAAGGGGACGAGGTAAGTTTTGGGGCATTAAAATCCGTGAATCTCGCTATTCCAAAAGAGCACTGGGATTGCAGCCTGTAATCTGAATGGGGTTAATTAGTAACCTGTTTAAGGATTTAAAATCTCAATTCTTTCCGTAGCATTTTTAGTAATTGTCTCACTTTATTTGCTTTTAAGTCCTGAAACATTTTTCCTTTTCAATGTTTGAAATGCCCACTGTGTTTTTAATGAAGTTAATTTACACAAGCAGTCATCATTTCACGTGCAGTCTTTCATGAAGTGCATTCTCCATCAGGAAATGAGGCAAAATCATTTAGCAGCGGAGAAGGTAGCCCTTCAGAAAAGTCTACTCTATTTTGAAAGCATTCATGGACGACCGGTATGTTTTTCCTATAGTTTTAGTACTTGCCTTTTAAACTTCATTATTGGTTAGCTGGTGATGCTTTAAATGTTCTACAGTGCAGTAATAGTCCGTGTTGATATAAGAATTGCCTTTTTTTCTAAACAAAGGTGTAAAGTTAAACTCGTCTTTCCATATTTCTGATCAGTTAATCCTTTAAATCGGTATTTATTTTCTGAATTGTTGCTGTTGTTGTCATTGAGTTGAAAAACACCCGATAATATTTTATTTCAAAAAAAAGGTTTGAACTACAGGTTCAGGTGACAAGTTTGGAAATTGGTATCTAATAAATATAAAGTCCATGGATTGTTCAGTATTCTAATTCCTGGATTTTAATCTACAACTTCATGATTTGTTAGATATGTCAGGACTCTTGATGGTGTGATGGTCATAAGTGCCTGTCTGCCTCTTATGTCACTACAACAGCGCTGGTGTGAGTGACAAAGAATGCTTTTCAATATGAAAAATTATGAATGTTGGTTGCAAGTATTCGTAATTCTGATGTATGGTTGAAATATGTTAATAATTTAACATTCCCTATGTTGAATACGTGTGTATGTATATATTATATAATATATATAATATATATATGCCATCAATTAATTACATCTTGTTATGTCATAAATGCTTCATTAACTCCTGTAAGTTTGTAATAACGTATATTGAGTTTGTTTTGTTAGCATCCTTCTTGTTAAATGAATCTTATCTAATTTTCAAGGTTACTAGAGAGCAAAGGCAGCTGGTGAAGCCTTTGTATGATCGATACCGACTGGTGAAACAGATCCTAACCAAAGCTAACCTAATACCAATTATTGTAAGTGTGAAGTCTGTCTGAAACTGAAGGATTTTTTTTTGTGAAGTCTATTAACAATGGTACTTTATATAAAGCATCTTAATGGGGCCCTACCACTGGATTGGTCTGAATGCTGTAATTGTTAATATGGATGTGGTTAATTCAGCAAATTATATAATGTGTGATCAATGTAGCATTGGACAACCAGTTATTCTCATTTCACAGCCTTTACATTGTGTTACCATTAAATCTTCCAAGACAAGATGATTTTCTTATGCTGATTTATTTAATTCCCTTCAGGGTTCCCCATCAACCAAACGCCGTGGTCAAACATTACAGCCGATCATTGAAGGCGAAACCGCTCACTTTTTTGAAGAAATCAAGGTAAAAATTCAGTTTTCAAAGTGTCGTACGAATAATGCAGAATTATAGTACCTATTAGTAATATTTTAAATGATTTTAAAATCATTCAAACATCCGATGTTCGCAGGAAGGAGCCATCCGGCTTTCTGCTTGCATTTTGGATTTTGTTTCCTATGTAGTACTAATACTTACATTTGATATAGCTCCTTATCACGTCTTCGAGACGTCTCAAAGTGCTTCACAGAATATACAGTAAATGAATTGACTGTATTTTGTAGGCAAAACGAGTACTGTGAATGTTGGAGTCTTGCCTTATAAATGAACCCATATTGTATTAACGTGTTGCAGCAGATTCCATTGTTATTGACCTTGTTCAGTGTGTAAGTTTGCAGCTTACCTTTGTGTATTTTCTAGGAGGAAGACGAGGAGGAAGATGATTGTAATATGACAGCGAGCTTTGCTGATACCCTAAAACTAGGCTGCCATACCAGAACCTTTTTAGATCAGCTGGAGAGTGAGCACGACACAATCGAGCACAGTGGAGAAGAGACTTCAGCCAAACTGAACCTTGATCTAGGGGCATCGAGTATCCATGCAGCGTCAATGTGAGTCTGTTAGGAGTTATAAACAATATACCGTAAACCCCTGGTTTACCGGATGGACTCCGGGTATCCGGAATTCCTACTGAGTCTGATAGACTCCCGTCGGCTCGCTCTCCTAGTGCTCACTGTGCTTGCTGGTCTTCACAGTGGTCAGGGAGATGGAGTTTGACTCCATTGAATCCCGTGATCAGAAGATAATTTATTCGCTATCTTCTGCCAGCCAGACCGAGACCATTACACCCCTGGTCCCGGCATTTTATGGTGCTGCAAAATGCCGGTACTGACATTATAATTACACTCAGCTGGAAATTCTGGCTTTCCAGACCAGATCTGGATATGCATCATTCTGCTGTAACGCGCACAACATTTCACAATATGGCCCACATCAAACAAACGTTTGGACACCTAGGTCTGAGATGACATCCTCCGGAACAATGGCAGATCTGACCCTATTTTACATAGAAAGATGAGGAATTGGTCGATCCTTTGAGCGCAGTTTATTACATCACGTTTTATTTCTCAATCCCTAACCCTAATCCCATTCCCCCAACCTTTACACAAACCCATTAATTCCCTTACTTCCAAGTATCTGTTGAACCTGAGACCTTCCAGGTAGACAAATTTAAAAATATTAAATTTGGTTGCTAAGGAGGATAGCGGATTAATGCTGATAAAATATCTGTCTTGTCCACCTTTTCTAGTCCAATCTTAAAATTTAGCCATAGCTTCGGGGTTGTCTTGAGTTTATTTATGATTTGGTCATTTTCAGGCCAGAGTTACTTGAGCAACTCTGGAAAGCAAGAGCTGACAAGAAGAAATTACGGAAGGCGCTACGTGAATTTGAAGGAGAATTCTATCGACAAAATGGAAGGTTGGTCCTTATTAAACTTCTGTTATTTGAATATAAACAGGTAGCTAAAGCCACAGATTTAGCTCGATCCTGCGTTGTCATTTTTTTACATCTTCGAATGAGATTTAAGGATAAATTGAACAATACCTTAACATATTTGACACTTAGCCATTGATTCATCTGATGTCCACACAGCATTTGGTGGGCAGTGAAGGTTTAGTGCGGTTCACACAAAGATTTTTCTCAAATAGCAAACGTTTGTCAGAACAATATTTCCAATATTTTCTGTTCAAAATGGGCAATTTGGAGGGCGGGAGATTGCTGCTTTCAGATTCTAAAGTGGACTAAATTCATCATTTTGTTATAAGAATAAAAATGACCAGAACCAGAACCCTAGAGCACTTTGGTACAAGTTGTAATAATAGTAATAATAATACTTTCTTTTTATATAATGCTTTATCTCATCTGCCAGACATCTCAAAGCGCTTCAGAATGTACTGTAAAGTGAATTGACTATATTTTATGGGCAAAACCCCTTGTACAAAAAGTTGTACTTCAGCATTCTTTGAATGTATAATGCGAACTCTTCTTCCCCATCCCTTGACAGGTTTTGTTGAAGCACTTTCTGCAGTAATGGAAGGCAACCAAAAGATGTTTTATATGTGTTTCCAATTTTATGTTGTATTATAACTCTTAACCCCTTCCCCGCCTTTCTTCTGAAATGTATGGAACAGGCTCCCTTTCCATACAGGCGGTGGAGGCAGAACATGTTGTTTGTTTTAAGAACAAATTCGATAGATTTCTGCTAGAAAATAATATCTGGGGGATAGTTTGGGACACAACATGTCAAGCGACTGCCAGGATGGTGGAAGGCAAACTGGATAGACCTTGGTCTTCTTTTGCCAGCAAATTGTTGTTATGTTATGTTTTTGCCTTCTTTTACCTTGTGCAAGAGTAATTCCAGGGGTACTGGTTGCTTACAAGTAACTTGCCCAAACGGCTGTTCTTTATCTGTGAACCTTGATGATGTTCAGAATGATATTCGACTGGGCACCATCGCTCTCCAACACATACCCATCCTTAGCTGATGCCACATTCACACACCTCACCTCCAGAAACATTTGCTAGAGAAAGATAAAATGGGAGTCGTGACCGATTTTCTCCCTAACCAAAGGCACCAGCAATTTTAGTGGCCCTGGTTCTGTCCTGGCTGAAATCTCCTACCTCAGCACAAACTAGATATCGAATAAGGGACCTTCCAAGTCTTTATGGCTCAACTACTTGCTCAAAAGCTCTGAGTCATTGTTGCAACCCTCTAACAGTTTCTTTTATGTGAACATTTTTCACGGTAGCTCATATATAGAAAAAAGTGCATAAATATTGCTCCAAGAAGTGATTCCTACAGGAATTTACTGTTCTCAGCTACGTGATTACTGTTCCAGACAGCACTGTGGCCCCCAACAAATGTGATTACAATAGTAAGTGAATTTCTCTCAAAACAGTAGTTTGAGATCTGCCTTAACTCTTAGCTCTTACACTATGAATTAGTCTAGTTATATAAACCTTTAGCTGCTGTGTATTAACATCTGTTTTCTGTTGGTACATACAGATTTTTTTGTAATTTCTTACTACGTGTGTTGGGAGTGTAGTGTACTTTGAAGCTAAATGATCATATGTTTTACTTTGAACTCACAAAGAGATTAGCCATCCAGACGTAGACATGTATGCTTGCAGATTCTAATCCAAGAAAATTGCAAGTTTAACACAATGATTAAAATATTAGCTGAATGAATTGTCTACCAAAATTGACATAAGAATATTTGTAGGTTTCTGTTGAAATCCACTCTGTAAAAAAAAATGATAGTAACACATTTTCTTGTATGATCTAGGAATGTACAGAAAGAAGATCGAACCCCAATGATTGAAGAGTACAGAGAATATAAACACATAAAAGCCAGGTGTAGGCTTTTGGAGGTTCTCATTAGCAAGCAAGATTCTGCTAAATCCATTTAAATCAATATTAATCAGTACTATCTTTATCTTGAACATTGTTGTTGCACACTTTAGTTAATGGAACTGGTGCTTACCTCTTTTGTGACATATCGTTACCCGAAGCCAATCTATGTACCTTTGGTGCTTCTTTATCAATTGATGAATAATAGTTAGGGTTGTGCCCTGAGGTAGTTATGAATGGCAGGTGGATACTCCCAGAGTAAAGAGGACAAAAGAGAGATGACATTCCCTTAATTGGTCTGTACTGTCTTGTGTTTTGTTGCTCGACATGTCTGACAGGTGAGGCTTGTACTTGTGCAAGCATGGAATTATTGTTGGTACTTAAATGCTTTCAAAATACCTTGAGGGCATCCAATGATAGAATGCAAAAACATTTTGTTTCCTCAAGCTACAGTTCAGCCAAATTGAATGCCATCATAGAAACACGTGTAAAGCAAAGGTATGCTTGTTATCCTGTACTTGCTGCATTGCATAGTTTAAAATAATGTTTTGAATTCTTTTAATTTAATCGTTGGCATCAGAATCGTCGGTTTGAACTGCAATTTTCCAAAGCATTAGTCGGGTGTGTCTATTCTGAGCAAAGAAAAGTTCCGGTCGTGCTTTCAGAAGTATTGCACTTGTACCATCAACCATTTTGTGAAGTGGACATAATATGTGCTGGTATTTATACCCGTTAAATTTGCTTGTACAGAAAAGATGGAACTTGCCCGTCACCCCACAATGGTACTAAAGCACTAACATACAGTCGATGGTTTCTAAATCGTTGTTTATTACTTTTATTGAGTTTATTAACATTTTTGAGATTATTTTTTTTCCCCTGTCGAGTAAAAAAAATATTTGGCAGAATTTGATTTTATGAATGTGATTTAAAATGAAGTTCCTGCTTTCAGTATAACTTCCTGTACTCGTGCCACTTTTTTTCTGGCTATAATCTGCTCAATGACGATATGAACTGTTACATTTATTGTGAAGTGTTTTTTTTAAATTAATGTAACTTTTGGAAACTACATCAGTGAGTCTCCTTGCCATTTAAAAATAAGTGGGTGTTCCTTTGTAATACTGGTTATAATTGTGAGAACAATGCATGTATCTACTGTATTTATGTGATTTGAGCAGCTAACTTTTATGTTTGCATGATTTTAACAAGCAGTACTTACTAAGTTTTTGGTAAATAACACAAGGACACCATATTGAAGGCAGGCTTAATCTGCAGACATGTACATTGGAAGCAATTGAATGTGTACATTTTTGTACATGATTAGTTTTGTTTTATGTAAGAAATCCAGCAAAATTGTTATGCATTGTATGTAGTACGCTGACACGTCATGATTGAAAATTACAATATGAAGAACGTAATAAATATTTGGGCTCAATTTGTGTGCATATATAGATGTACTGTGGTACATTTTATAGTAATGTATCATTTATACACAGTTTTGTTTAAATCTTCTGGTTTTATCTGTATATTTATTCTGTATATTTCTGGTGTTAAATGTTTTTCTAACCCGTCTTACCTACAATTCTTGCATTGTGATACTTGGTCTGGTCCACATATTGAAATTGCTTGATAATTCAAAGAGAAAAAAATAATGTGCATGAAATATGCAGAGAAACAATCATAATAGCAATAAAATTGTCAAAAGTTTGAACTATGGAATATCTGCTACGTATCAGATGTTTAAGACCGTTTCCTGCTCGAGGTGAACAATGTAATGAGTATGCATGGCAAGAACATTTCACTGTGTGCCATCATAATTGCCAACCAAAGGCTTTAAAGGAAGTGGTTTCATGTTTTGGTGAACTACAAGATTTACAACAGTGCATGTTACATAATGTAGATTATTTATTTCTGAAGATTATTATCTATTCGTAGTTCTAACGTTTTGCTGTGACATTACTTTAATAAAAATGTTTCCACACTGTCTGGTATTCACACGGATCGATCATTTTTTGGGGCAGTTTTCTCTCACCATTGCTGAATGCACAGTAATAATAATCATAAATAATCCTTGAGTTTGATATAGCGCCTTATCACGTCTTTGAGATGACTCAAAAAGTGTTTTGCAGAATATACTGTAAAATGTAGTGACTAACTTGTGGGCGAAACATAGCAGCCAATTGTGCGCAGCAAGTACATTTCAAGACAATTTTTTTCAAAAGGGTTTTATAATAGTTCAGCAATAAATTAGTGTGTTGGTATAACGTGGGTTAATGTATCACCCCGGCTGTTCCCCTCTGTTAAATAGTGGAAGGGACGGAGCTGGGACATAAAACATTACCAAGGTGCCAAAAGCAAGTCAAAGCAGATTTTCTTAATTACACTGAAGTTAGTCTCGCAGGTGTGCATAAGCTTTTTTAAATATAAAAACAGCAGCTTTAAGGCAAGTGTTTAGCAATTTTTTGAGTTGTAGAATGCAAATTTTGGCGTAGGTGGTACTCAGATTCAATACCGAAAATGGCTGAAAACTGATTTTCAATGCTACAACGCTGTGTTCAAACAATAAAAGATTGTGTTGAGACACTAACTGAGGGCAGCGTTATTATCAACACGTTGTTGGGAACCTGTCAGCTCGGGAGTGGATTTACCATTTCTGGTGAGAGCTTTGAGCGTTGAAAGCGACAGAGTGGCTTCAGCTTACAGAACTAAACCACCAGAGAGATTCTAACATGAAGATTTAAACCGGGTCACGTCGTGTTTTGTTGATAACGTGTTCTGCTTTAATCTGACCCGAGTCCCCCCGATGGATTGGAGTGGAGCGGACTCCCGACTGAGAGCTCGAGAATATACCTTTGGAAACGTATGGACCCTGTGCGCGGGTTGAGCGCGAATAAAAAGTGGGTACGATAAAACCTCATTTTTATGTTGGGTGTCGGTGACCGGTTGCAAGTTCTGGTGACAGGTCGTCAACCTGAAACGCCGCCTCACTTTTCCTCGCCGTAAATGCCTGACCCTCTGAGTGTTCCCAGCCACGTCTGTTTCTATTACTCGATGAGCTGTGAATTTCACGCCGCTGATGCCCCCTTTCAGCGTCCTCGGAAATGGTAACCAGCCTCCGCCTGCAATGAATGGATTGGAAACGCTGGAAAGGACTCGTAAAACAAAGGGCGATGCATAAATCATTAGCTTCATGTATATATGCAGTGAAACTGGAGACGGCTTAGTCTGAAAGCCCTTTCAGGAGAGACTCGCAAGAGGAGGTGCTGGACGGCTATCGGTTGCGCACAGAATAATTTACGCTCGTCTCATAATTATCCTCCCCTTTATTCTGTGCGTCACACAACAGACGACCTCAGTGTCGAACAAAGTGTTAAATCAGTGTGGCCACACATCCCCGATTTCCTGGGACGACAGCAACAGATTATATTTGTACGGCGCCTCTCACATCGGGAGGAGGTCCCAGTCCCGAGGCATTAAGTCGAAGGCACGGCCGAAGAGGAGGGTCTTGAGGCGGGTTTTTGAAGGCAGGGAGGGAGGTAAAGGGGCTGTGGGTGAACAACCCCTGGATGAGGGATTGCATTCCTGCGGCCAAATTTGCCGTCATGAGTTCAGTAACTAACTGAGCACGAACAATAACATCCATTAGATGAACAGAGACACAGCAATTAATTCGACAACCTTCTCCAGTGCTGCCAGCAATAGGAATCTTTTATATATATATATATATGTATACATATATATATATATATGTGTGTATCCCTGGCTTTGTTTTGCCAAATATGGTTTACAAAATATACAACTAATAATTACTTTTGTAATATATATGTTTGTCTCAACGATGCTTTGCCCACACAATACACGGTCGGCTCACCTTACAGTGTATGCTTTGAGACGTCTCGAAGCCGCGATGAGGCGGTACATCAAATGCGAGGATTATTATTATTATTGTTATTATTATTATTATTTATTATTATAATGATAATAAGGCCCCTCTGTCATGTCAGGTGGACACAGTTCGGTGGGTTCAGGTTCAGCTGCAGTTGGCTGTCCCGCCTGAGGGGGTCGCCACTGAGCTGCAGTCACAACCACAACCACAACTTGCGGATAAAACACCCTTCACAGGTGCTGACAGACAGCAACATGGGCTGAGCAGGGCAGGGAGGGCAGGGCAGGGAGGGCAGGGAGGGCAGGGCTGGGGAGGGGAGGGAGGGCAGGGCAGGGAGGGCAGGGAGGGCAGGGCTGGGGAGGGGAGGGCTGAGCAGGGCAGGGAGGGCAGGGCAGGGCAGGGCTGGGCTGGGGAGGGCAGGGAGGGCAGGGCAGGGAGGGCTGGGCTGGGCTGGGGAGGGCAGGGCAGGGAGGGCAGGGAGGGCAGGGCAGGGAGGGCAGGGGAGGGCAGGGCGGGGAGGGCAGGGGAGGGCAGGGCTGGGCAGGGCAGGGAGGGCAGGGCAGGGAGGGCAGGGAGGGCAGGGCAGGGAGGGCAGGGGAGGGCAGGGCTGGGCAGGGCAGGGAGGGCAGGGCAGGGAGGGCAGGGGAGGGCAGGGCTGGGAGGGCAGGGCAGGGAGGGCAGGGAGGGCAGGGCTGGGCTGGGAGGGCAGGGCAGGGCTGGGGAGGGGAGGGCTGGGGAGGGGAGGGCTGGGCTGGGCAGGGCTGGGCAGGGCAGGGCAGGGCTGGGGAGGGCAGGGCTGGGCAGGGGAGGGCAGGGCTGGGGAGGGCAGGGCTGGGCAGGGGAGGGCAGGGCTGGGGAGGGGAGGGCATGGATGGGCAGGGAGGGCAGGGCTGGGCAGGGAGGGCAGGGCAGGGAGGGCAGGGCTGGGCAGGGCAGGGCAGGGGAGGGCTGGGCTGGGCAGGGCAGGGGAGGGCAGGGCTGGGCAGGGCAGGGAGGGCTGAGCTGGGCAGGGAGGGCAGGGAGGGCAGGGCTGGGGAGGGCTGGGCAGGGCAGGGGAGGGCTGGGCTGGGCAGGGCAGGGCGAGGGCTGGGCTGGGCTGGGCAGGGCAGGGCAGGGGAGGGCAGGGAGGGGAGGGCAGGGCTGGGCAGGGCAGGGAGGGCTGAGCTGGGCAGGGAGGGCAGGGAGCGGAGGCAGGGCAGGGAGGGCAAGGCAGGGGAGGGCAGGGCTGGGCAGGGCAGGCAGGGCAGGGAGGGCTGGGCAGGGGAGGGCAGGGCTGGGGAGGGAGGGCTGGGGAGGGCAGGGCAGGGAGGCAGGGCTGGGGAGGGTAGGGGTGGGGAGGCTGGGCAGGGAGGGCAGGGCTGGGCTGGGCTGGGGAGGGCAGGGCTGGGCTGGGCTGGGGAGGGCAGGCAGGGCAGGGAGGGCTGGGCAGGGCTGGGGAGGGGAGGGAGGGCAAGGCAGGGCTGGGGAGGGCTGGGCTGGGCAGGGAGGGCTGGGCAGGGCTGGGCTGGGGAGGGCAGGGCTGGGCAGGGCAGGGCAGGGCTGGGCTGGGTAGGGCTGGGCTGGGAGGGCAGGGCTGGGCAAGGCAGGGCTGGGCAGGGCAGAGAGGGGAGGGCTGGGCAAGGCAGGGCTGGGCAGGGCTGAGCAGGGGAGGGCAGGGCAGAGAGGGCAGGGCTGGGGAGGGCGGGGAGGGCAGGGAGGGCTGGGCAGAGAGGGCAGGGCTGGGCTGGGGAGGGCAGCACTGGGCAAAAACAACACACTGCACCTTTATTTATGGCACCTTTTCCATCCGTCCTTCATCGGTGCTGTTCGCAGAGAGAGGATCCTTTGTTCGGTGGCCATCAGTCGGTCGGCATCACTGACGTGAGCTGTGGCTGCTCGGTTGAACGGCGGCAGCAATATTAATAATAATAATCCTTGAATTTGATACGAGGCCTTATCGCGTCTTCGCGACGTCTCGGAAGCGCTTCATAGGATATACTGTAAAGTGAATTGATTGTGTGTTTTGGCCGAAACGCAGCAGCCAATATCAATGTCAATATTTTGCCCACAAATATATGGTCAGTTCACTTTACTGTATATTCTGTGAAGTGCTTTGAGACGTCTCGAAGACGTGATCAGGCGCTATATCAAATGCAAGGATTATTATTATTATTAATGAAAGGGAAATGCTGCATAGAGGAGCAGAGTTTCATCCGAAGGTATCACCAGTCTAATGTATAGTGACGATTTAAATGTATAGTAGCAAAGTACAAGAAATACCGATGATACGTGGGAATGAATGAATTATATTCATTTAAAATGGAGTTGTATTTGATTCTATTGTATTTGATTCTTTAACTTCTTCCAATTTTTGTGAGGCTGTTTTCAGATCCCTGGACGGTTCATTCGCTGACGTGAAAATCCCCATTAATAGGGTTAAATCTACAGAATTGAAGTAGATCTTGTTTTGCAGGAACAGATCCAACTGTATTGTAATAATGTGCAACAAATTCATTCTTAGTGCCTGTCTGTGACTTGTTGACCTTCTGTGATTTGGGACCTTTGACTCACTCCCTGACGAGGCTGAAATGAAACCTTCAGGTTATGTTGTTTTAAATCCCAGTCACTGAAGACCGACGTGGCTGGGAATCACGTTCCAGGAACGAGGCCATCCCATTCTACTGAAACAGTCGGCAAGCGCTGATGGATCTACGGTGCTCTGCAGGTGAGCTGGTTTTATCTTCAAAATAATAATAATAATAATAATAATTTGGTCGCTCAACCCACGGCTGTTTGTGGGGACGCTGCTGTGTGCAATTGGCCGCCGCCTTTCGCCCACAAAATGCACAGTCCATTCACTTTGCAGTATATTCCGCGAAGCGCTTTCAGACGTGATAAGGCGCTGTATCAAACGCGAGGCTTATTACTATTAATAATAATTGGAGTGGGAGAGAATATTACGATATTAAAAATATTTCCCCCGTACAGTAACGTTCCTCTTGTACTTGTACATCTGTATGAATTGAAGAAAATTCCTGCATTCCAGACCGTAACAATGCTCTGTGTGAAAAGAAACGTCTCCTTATCCCCGTCTGGTTTCATGTTTGGTCTCAGCCCCTTTCGAATTCCTGTCTTAAAACCCACCTCTTTAACTGTGCGTCAAAGGTCACCTCCCCCTCCGACCCTCCTCCCCTCTCCCTCCTGTCTTTGCGTATCGCTCGGAGATGTCAACCCTCTTGAAGGGCGCTGCACACATGTAGGTATGGAGGTACATTATTACCCGACACTATCGCGAACGGTAGCGTTCGGAATGTCTGTTGCTCTGGTCTTGTACGTGTAGTAATTTGTTCAGACAAATAGCTGCCGGAAAACTGCAGTGGCGTTGTGGTGCATTTCTGCAAGTCACCCTCCCCTAATCCTCCACACTCTTACTGCCTTTGGCGGTTATTTACTGGCCAGAATAAACACAGCAAGACAATCGGTGTGCAAACTGACGCTGAAGGGACCTGGTTTCGGTTCATGTGATAGATTGAGAGATGTAGAAACACAGCCTTCTCTTGTGGCACCCTTAATAATAATAATAATAATAATAATAATAATCCTTGCATTTGACAAAGCACCTTGTCACATCATGGAGAAGTCTCAAAGCGCTTCGCAGAATATATTAATATCATATTATGTTAATTAACATAATTAATTCTCATATATTAATGGAATGAGTATAGTTCATTCTCACAGCGGTGTTTTGTCCCCCTGTAGCTGTGCATTCCAATCACGGCTCTTTCGGGAAAGGGGTAAAAAATGGGCTCTCTTTTGTTTGGGTCAATAAGCTTTTTGTCTCTTAACATCCTTTACAGAGTCCTTTGAATTTCAGAACCACATTTCGGGGGTATTACGTTTAAGAAACTGCAGCAGATTTTTTTTTTTCTTTCTTCAATGAGCCTCGGGCTGATATATGTGAAAGAAAACATCCAAAGCTGCTATGTTCAGGAGCTACGCTGGAGCACAGATACAAAGTGCGCTGCGTAAGGCTCGACCAGCATTGAAAGGCGCTTACACTACACTTGCGTGCGATAACTCTGCCTCGAGACGGCATCACGGGAATTCCCAACGCGGCCTCAAGAAAGATCAGGGCACTGGTGCTTGGAACGGTTTGGGAATCCGGGCCGGTTGGCAAGAGGGAGGGTCACACGTTGCTCAGTTCAGGAAGACGTTCTCGTCAGTCAGCCTACCGAGGGTGGGGTGTGACAGCCGGATTGGGAGAAGGAAGGAGAATGAGGACCGCTGTGGTGCCGAGGAGCTGAGGGACGATGTGCTGTATTTTGCCGTCTATGACGGACATGGGGGAGCTTCAGCGGCAGAGTTCTGCTATCAGCACATGGCGGAGTATATCAGGCAAGTCAGGAGACGATACACAAGGCTGCTCGTACGTCCCTGTGTTGCGTGGAGCACGTTATCATTTGTTCCTTGTGTTGTGAGACGAGGAACGGTTTAGTATCTGCACAGCGTAACAGTGGGAATAAGGGCAGTTTCTGGTGATTCCTGCCGTGTCTGTGACTTTATCGAAGGCCCTGTTTATCCCACTGCATCCATAGCAGATACAGAATCTCAGCTGCACTTAGTATATTCAAGACTGAGGTGGATAGATATTTGTTAGATCAGGGGATCGAGGGATATGGGGGAAGGGCGGGTAATTGTAGTTGAGGTACGGATCAGCCATGCTCTTATTGAATGGCGGAACAGGCTCGAGGGGCTGAATGGCCTCCTCCTGTTCCTATGTTTCCATGTTTCTAACCGTGTTTTGCAACAGGTTGTGCTTATCAAGAGAGGAGAACTTGGAAACGGTCCTAAGCCAAGCCTTTATGCAGGTGGATGAGGAGTTTGGGCAGCAGGTTTGCTCGCTGGGTGATGGTAAGCATTGCTCGTGTTTTCCAAAACCTCTGCCAGTCTCGTTTTCACAGAGTAAGGACTGTTTAAAGAATTTCATTCTTCCTTTCATTTTGTTGTATCGTGGTGAATGGTCGGTGTATGATCACTGTGTTGTCTACAAGCTCTCCGGGATGCTACTCTGCGTGAAGGGCGCTATATAAATGCAAGTTGTTGTTGTTGTTCCAAGGCCTGCATTGCAATCTGAGCTGTTTCCAGAGAGGTAAGAAATCTTAACAATCTATCGTTTCAGAAGCTCTCCAGTTTTGTGGAACCACTGCTACTGTGGCCTTGTTACGTAATGGAGCTGAGCTGGCTGTTGCCAGCGTAGGAGACAGCAGAGCCATATTGTGTCGGAAGGGAAAAGCAAAGAGACTCACTATAGACCACACTCCAAACAGGAAGGATGAAATGGAAAGGTAAAGCTACAGCCGTGAATATACGATACCTTACAGTCCAGTGAAAACTGAGAGGGATGGGAAGTGATGTGTGCGTTAGAGGATAATGCAGTCACATTGCTGGAATTATACAACTATATGAAGTGTCTGTACATTATTATACTAGATCAAATGCAAGGATTATTATGATTATCCGTTCTCCGCAGACACTTTTGAAGATTGTTAATCAAACTGTTTGACACTTACTTCATGCAGGATTAAGAAAGCTGGTGGTTTTATTGCCTGGAATAGTCTGGGACAACCTTTTGTGAACGGCAGGCTTGCCATGACTCGCAGCATAGGTGACTTGGCCCTAAAGGCCACCGGAGTCATTGCTGAACCAGAAACCAGAAAAATCATGGTAAGGACGTTACTAATTTTTTTTTCTAAAGAGGGTCGTTTACTCTGTTCTGCAGGTCCCAGGTCAGTAATATAGTATTGTAGCTTTGTTGGCAGACACTGGAGGTAGAAAGGGTTTCTTTCTACACGATAGTGTAAAGCAGGTGGTTCCAAAGCCGATTTCATCCAGCCCCACCCCCCCATTTCCATCAGGACCACCAGCTCCCGCCATAATCCCGTAAATGTTATGTTTCTGAGAGGGAAACACCAAATATTGCTGATGCTGCCCACGGCTGTTTCTCAAAGAGGGCTTCTGGGCCTCAGCAGCCAATAGGTTGGACCTGGTGTGAAGATATAATGGTCTACACAGGGTGAACCGAGAGAACTTCCTCATCGGTCGATATGAGATGTTCAAACTGATCTCGGGAGGGTGGCTGAAGGCACGGTTGAAGAGGAGGAGGGTCTTTATTCAAGAACAATACCTGTCGCAACTTGCACTTTGCTCAGTTTGCTTCGAACTTTTAATGTGGACAAAATTGTTCCCTTTGCAGGTGAGGCATGGAGAGGATGGCTTCCTGGTTTTAACCACGGATGGAATTAACTTCATCCTGAGCAGCCAGGAGATCTGTGACATCGTTAGCCAGTGCCAGAGCGCAGTTGAAGCTGCTCAGGTTATCACAGAGAGGGTAAGAGCGATGTACTTTACAGTGGCTAACTAGCCATTGCTAACTAGCCAGTGAACTACCCTACACTTGGAATATAAAACAGAAGGTGTTTCGCCCACAAAAATGTACAGTCAATTCACTGTACAGTATATACTGTGAAGCGCTTTGAGACATCTCGAAGCCTCGCATGGGTGTAAAGATTCAGATGCTATGACTGCTGTTACCTCTCTTTTTTCTCTGCTGGTTCATTGTTAAGTGTCTCGACAAATAGGGGAATCAATACTGTCTTATCCCAGATTGATTGGCATCCCATGGAATTGTACAATTGGCGCCGTGCTCCGCCACAGTCAAGCGCTCTGGGACGCTATCCTGCATGAGGGGCGCTAAATAAATGCAAGTTGTCGTTACGTTAAAACTTGTCTTTTTAAATGCAGGCTCAGGAGTGCGGGACAGAAGATAACAGTACAGCAATTGTCATTCCTTTTGGAGCCTGGGGGAAACACAAACACACAGACAGGAGCTATTCTTTGAGCCGCAACATTGCCTCCAGTGGGAGATGGGCATAGGAGGCAAAGGAGCCGTCGACTGTGATCTCCAGTAGGTACCTGGGACCCTGTCGTGGGATCTTCATTGTCAAATTATAGTCTATTCAACACAAATATAATTTTGTATTGTGTTCGTCTGTTTGTAAGTTATGCTGATTTGACAGAAAAACTGTTGTTTCTTTCTAAAAAACAAGAGTAATCGACAATTGTGCAATTTTATTGTTAAATATTCATTACTGTTACATTTTTGGGGGCCGCTTATGGGATTTATAGTTTCACTTCTTATTTCCTGCTCTTTTTGTGTGCTTTTCGGCCACTTTAACGTTGTTGATTATTTCTTCGGACTTGGCTCCTGGCTCTCAGTTATAATCTGCGACCAAGTTTCCAAGTCCGGCTTCTCCTCTACAACCTGTACAATAAAAAAAACTTACCGTGTTTATGCATGCAATAGATTAGTAAAATATCATAACAATACAATAATAATAATATCATAGTATTATAATAACCATTTTTGAGGGATTAATTGATTAATTAGACAATTGGCTGCCGCGTTTGGCCCACAAAATACACAGTACAGTATATCCTATGAAGCCCTTTGAGACATCTCAATGACGTGATAAGGCGTTATATCAAATGTAAGGATTATTATTATTGTTGTTGTTGCATGTGATATTTACATATATCAATACGTAACCGTATAAATACATATTCATATATGTAAACATAACTGTACAATACAATTTACATTTATCTAGTGCCCAGTTTGGTTTGGAGACTCTTAAGGATGGTGATGGGTTTCTGCAGGTGTCAGATACCCGGCCGGACAAAATAAACCATGTGAACTCACCAGTTTTTGTTTGGATGTTAACTTGTCTAACTTCACATGGTCTATTTTTCGAAGCAGATTTACGATCCATTGCACTTTGGGTAGAATGCAGTTCATTTGGTACTCCAGTTTTTCCGTACGGACGATGAGTCTGAAAAGAATGATTTAAAAAAAAGATGTCATACATTTGTGGGATTTATAGTAATGACAAATAATAATAATGTCAATATAATAAATAATAAATGTAGCAATAATAATAATTTGGTCACTCAATCCACAACTGTTTGTGGGGACGCTGCTGTGAGCAATTGGCTGCTGCATTTTGCCCACAAAATATACAGTCGATTCACTTTACAACATATTCTGTGAAGCGCTTTGAGACGACTCGAAGACATGATAAGGCGCTACATCAAATGCGAGGGTTATTATTATTAGTATTAAATACAGGGGAAGTTCTCAATCTCTGGAGTTAGGAGTTTCCACGTGTGTCAGGCATCCGGCTGACCTCCGAAAACATCAGATGTGCCCAATTATACCACGTCTTGGCTTAGTTTCTCCAGCAATTTTATACCACAATCATTTAATGGAGACCTTTCACTATTTGCAAAAGTATTGGACTCACAGATGATAACTTCGAGCCGAAATGCGGTTATTTTTATCCACCACATGGTCTCGGTAGCTGTTGTATTCTTCACCGTTATCAATGCCATAGTATGTGTTTGTATGTTGCTCCTGTTTAAAAACAAGGTAGACCGATTATCCACAATAACCAAATTAACCCATTTTTCAGCCGAAAGACCTTAGCGATTTGGCAGCTGCACAAAGTGCCAGTGTGAGTGACCCACTGTGTCTGTTTTTCGAAGCAGATTCATTCAGGTTGTGTGACCTAAAGCTGTGAAGGACAGTGTAATTTGAACTGGTTAAATTCCAGCAGTAATTTCTGACGTCCCAAAGCCTTGACTTCCTGCCAACCTGTACTTAGTACTCTCTGGAATTAGGTAAACAGGGTGTGCTTTGCACAGAGAGAGTCAGCATTCAACAACAACAACAACAACTTGCATTTGTATAGTGTCCTTCACGTGGGGTAGCGTCCCAGAGCTATTAAGTACAGTAATGGGTTTCTGCGTGTCCGACGCGCACGCGTCCAGCTGACCAAAAACAAGGAAAATAGTGGGCTTGGGATTCTGGAAGGATAAGATCAAATGGACTGAATGGCCATCAATGGAAGCTCCCTTGTGATCTCTTGATCTCTCTGTAGTGAGGAGAAGAGAGGGGGTTTAGGTGTGCTGAACCGCAAATAAGCAACTATACCTGTAAACAAGGCGATAGTCAGGTCACCGTCACCCAACCTGTCCTTCAGTTTGTCATTGGACGATTGGTAAAGCGATATCACACAACTCTTAATCCTTAACTTTTATTGTTCTTCAGATGAGTTACAAAACCCATAAAATTCTTTCCCCTGAAAAGCACTTTTCTTGTGGGCATTTCAGCCGCACAATATACAGTTAATTCACTTGACAGTATATTCTGTGAAAGGCTTTGAGATGTTCTCAGTGATGCAATACTTCTTATTGACTGACCTGATTGATTTCTTCACCCAATTCTTCCAAACAAGGATCATTGAGTATTGCTTGTGCACTTTCTTTACTGCAATTGTGTTTAAAAGTTCAAGAATATACATAGATTAGGTACAATGCGTCTAATACATGATGATAAACACAATAACAGCAACAACAACTTGTATTTATGTATTTATATAATACATTTAAAGCAAAGCGATCTTGGACAGGGAGCGGATGCGAGTCAGGGGTGAGCGTTACGATAATAATAATATTCATAATAATAACTTTAAAAGCTGTAGCAAAATGTGGGTGGATGGTAATGTGCCAGTAAACAAGTGCCTAATTTTAACAGTATTGAAAATATCATAAGATATTGTACTTCTCATTCTTTTCGTCATCCTGAAGAGATTGTTCCTTTTCCTTTTCCGCCTTTGACTCAATAGCTTCATAGACTTCAGTTGGGGCTTTTTTCAGTTTGAACCTTATAAGGCACCTGTCAATATGCTGTGACATTTCATAATGTTTATTAATTCTCAGTTACGACAATATTAAGTGAAATCTTGAAGGTCGGCTTTAGAATTAAGTTAGATTTACAGATCTACTCGAACAAATTAATTTATTAAATTTCAAGGTTCTTACCTTTTTAATTAAATCAGAAATATCAAAATCAATCTTCCTCAGCGACCTATTCCCCTTGACTTCAGCGTACGTTTCATTAATAATGGCCAAGAAGACATTCTAGACAGAAGAACCAAATCGAGTGTCGAAACAGAATAGGAGAAACTTGAACAATAAATAACATGTGCAGGTGTCCGAGTGTGCGTCCGCGTTGCAAATATAATATAATCTAATGTAATACGTCATACACTCACCAGCAGCACAAAGAATATGCAGAATACAAAGGTGGTGAAGTAAATAGGGCCAAGGATTCGGTTTGCCTTTTCGATCTCAGCAAAATTAAAATCTCCCAGAATAATTCTAAACTGAGTAAAACTGAACAGAGAGAGGTTTGTAAATGCAGACTCCATCTTACAAACATTGAACGCAATCCAAGCAAGCTGCCGACTGAGTTTTACTGCGGTCCTTATTCAGAGAAAGCTAAGCACTCAGAGCCTATGCTGGTCACAGTACAGGAAAAACAATAATAGCGCTCGACTCGCAAGCGAGCGACCTGGGTTCGATTCCTGGGCAGGGGGTAGAACGTTGGGCGAGTTTCCTCGCTCCACACCCACGCCTCTGTTTACCAGCAGTAAGTAGGAACCCGGTGGTTAGTCGATTGACGGATCACTTTCCGGGGGTAATAATCCCCTAAAACCACAAAATATACAGCCAATTCACTTTGCAATATATTTTGTGAAGCGCCTTGAGACGTCTCGGAAGACGTGAATAGGCGCTATATCAAATGCAAGGCTAATTATTATTATTATTATTACCACATAATACTATAAAGCAACATCTTAGACATCGATCGTAGATATTGTTGTTTTAATACTCACATGCAGTTGCTGAAGGTATGAAAACTTTCCACTTGGGCACCAAAGATAAGGTAGCCTAACTGGGCATAACCAAAAAATATTATAAAGAACATGATAGCGAATCCAGCAATGTCTTTTGCACAGTGCTGGAGGGTTGTAGCGAGCTGGGTCATCGTCTCATTGAAACTGATGAATTTAAATATCTGAAATAAAATTGTTTGGGTTTAGAATCCACATTCTCCAAAAAACGATTTGTATAACTGCTCCCTTTAAAGAACTCGATAAGGTTACAACAGCAACGACTTGCATTTATTCACCTACAAGATACAGTCTCTATATTTTACAATATAGCCCGTGAAGCGCTTTGAGATGTCTCAACAACGTGATAAGGCGCTACATCAAATGCAAGGATTATTATTATATAGCGCCCCTCGTGCAGGGTAGAGTCCCAGAGCACTTCACACAAATCGGTTAACATAAATCGGCTGCTAGAGGCGTCCGTAACCAGGAGACACAAATATGAGATAGCGACCAGGGGGATCTCAAAGAGAATTTAGGAGGAACTGCTTCACACAGAGGGCAGTGAGACTGTGGAACTTGAGCATGAAACGGTGTTTGAATCAGATAATACTGTATAGATACATTCGAGAAGAAGCAAGACCTTCACATGAGGGAGAGGGGAATCGAAGGGTGAGAGAGAGTAAGGAATGGGTGAAGACTTAAGTATAAACACCAGCATAGACTGGTTGGGATGAGGGGCCTGTGTCTGTGCTGTATACTTATTGTAAACCCTTTGTAAATATTTTTCAGCAGTTTCAGCGAAAATATCACTAATACCCAAAATATTGCTCATTTTCTTCTGATGCTTAACCTATTGTGATCCTCGCATTGTATCTGTGATAATACTCAAATATGGCAGGAATCGCTCACGGTGCCGTGGATCTATCAGGGAGACGTCTCAACGATATGATAATGTGCTGTATTAAATGCAAGGGTTATTATTGATTATTATTAATAATAATAATAAGGTTGATCTCTCCATCCTCAGTTGTCCCCAAAACAACCTCAAGTCTACCATGAGAGGGAGCTGCAGCATAGAGATGGCTCTCCAGAGGGCGATTAATCGTAACGTTGATGTCAAGGCTGGGATCAGGACACCGGCTCACAGACCGGGGTTACAATACAATACAACTTGCACTACATAGACACCGTCGCATCAGGAGGACGTGTCAAAACCACTGAAATTGGGTTCCAGTGAGCACCCCCACCCCCCAAAAAAAAGACAATTTTAAAAAAGCTCACAGAGGGTAATCGTAGAACGACCAACTTTCTCATCAAAACATTTTCACAGTAAAGACCCCGATCAATACACACGCATTACCTTTATCCAGGCAATGAAGACGGTAATAGCGATCATGTTGTTGTATTGGTTCTGCCAGTAGGCCAGGAAATAAAGGTTCGGGTACTTGAAGGAGTTTTCCAGAAGTTTTTCAAGTACCAAGCTCACTTTTGCTGTACGATAGATACTGAAAACGATGGCCAGCAAAGACAACTGAAAGAGCGAGAGAGCGAGAGAGAGAGAGAGAGACAGAAAGAGACTTGTACTCTAATTCGGACAATATCTAACAACAAAATTCAACAACAAAATTACATCTACAGAGCGCCTTTCACGTCGGGAGGACGTCCCAAATAAGCCTGAATCTAGAACTGACCAAAACAATGAGGAAGTCCAGGCAATTCCAAAAACTTTGGAAGTAACGCAGCTTTAGTTCGTACATCTCGATCAGCTCCTGCCCCAGGTAGTTCAAGATGAAGAGACAGAAGAGGATTTCACAGGCCCCCAGGAAATAGTCCAACGTGGAAACGTATCGCAGGAGTTTCACCGTGTAGATGTGCCAGGAAGTGGTGGCACCACCAGTGGCCGGGAACTCCACCAACAGCCTGTCACACGAGCGAGAGAACAACATGGAAACGTTCAAAAAAAAAACACCCAAAAAAAAAACCTGGTCGGAAAAATTCACGGCCGTTTGTGGGGACACCGCTGTGCGCAATTGGCTGCCGGGTTTTGCCCATAAAAATACGCAGTCACCACACTTTACAGTATGTTCTGTGAAGCGCTTTGAGACGTCTCGAAGGCGTGATAAGGCCCTGTATCGCGTGGAAGGATTATTATTATTATTACTACAAATGATTATTATTATTATATTATATTATAGCTGCAAAATCGCCTTTTACTCCGTTTCTGAAAACGTATCCTAACATTTGCGAAATCTCAGCAGAGCCACCAACGGGATTGTGGAAGTATAAGTTCCTGTCTGATGTCACGGAGCTTTAAATCTGATGTCTTTACCAACCTGAGGGCACAGAACAAGTTGACGTTGGCGTTGTAGACCGAAAAGTCTATGAAGACGGCTCTGCTCCCCAGGTCCAGCCACAGGTTTGATTTAAGGTGTTTAATCTTCTTAGCGCTCTCTTCCTTCTGTCTGTCCAGGTCCAGGATGTAGCCGCCATTCCTGTACTTGCTGATCTTCCCCCAGTGCCTCAGCTCAAACTGGCTGTTCGGGACAGTGTATTCCCATCTTGTGATATTCAAAAAAAAAAGAGGAAGAACATCGGATTTAGAAACAACAGCAACAGCAACTTGCATTTACACCGCGCAACCTCACGATTGGTCACTCAATCCACGGCTGTTTGTGCGGACGCTGCTGGGCGCAGGTGGCTGTCGCGTTTCGCCCACGAAAAATACAGTCACTACACTTTACAGTGCATCCTGAGGATTGATACACACACAGACAGACATTTCATCTTTATTGGTATAGATATATCTCTCCAGAAGGGTGTGTGACGTGTCTGTCGCCATTTTGTTGCAGAATACCATACATATCTTATTGGGGGCTTAATGAAAGCATTATGTAATATATTTTTTAGCATTACCTGTTCAACGATAGGAGATCAAGACCTTTCCGGTGAGATATAAATCATGTCTCTACATCAAACGATGATTGGGTTCTTGGCAGACACACACACAGACAGACATTATATGTATATATATATAAAAATAAATCTTACTCTGATCCAGTTTGAAGACCGAATGCTGAATGATCCTCATTTGCAAGAGAATATTCGTTGAAACAGTCTTTGAAGGTGTCGCGAAAATATTTGAGAACAGAGCATGTATTATTGCGTACTCTAACTTGTCGAATCTGAGGGACTCCCAAAAGAATATTTTCGTAATATATGTAACTTTCTTTTGAAGACAGAGGCTGGCCATCATACCATTCCTTCCAGTATAAGCTATCCAAAAGTGGGCCCTCAGCAAACTAGAGAGGGATAATTTTACAGTAATTAGACATAGATACATGGATAAACAAAAGGCAAAATACTGCACGTGCATGCTGGAAATCTAAAATAAAAACAGACGTGGCTGAGAACAGTCAGGAAGCATCTACGGAGAGAGGAAAGTGAGTTAATCTTTCAGATCGATGATGAAAGTGCTTTGAGACCTTTCGACGTGAGGTAAAGCGCTAAAAAACCCAAAACAATGATAAAAATTGGTCATTTTCAATCCACGACTGTTTGTGGGACATTGCTGTGCGCAATTGGCTGCCGCGTTCGCCCACAAATATACAGTCAATTCACTTTACAGTGCGTTCTGTGAAGCGCTTTGGGACGTCCTCCCGACGTGAAAAGCGCTATATCAAATGCAAGGATTATTATTATTATACCAAATGCAAGGATTATTATATTAGTGTTATTTGTTAATAGAAGTCCCACAATCTAACACGTGGTTAAACAATGATCATTACCTCCCAGAAATCCTCCATACTTCTTATCTTCTTGAAGTTGACAAGTTGAGCACTGGATTTGGTTTCCAGGAAAAGATTAGACATAACTTTGGTGAAGAAATACATGTTGGAATTTACCATTCCAAATGTCACTGTAATACAAAAAGGAAATCTGTCAAAGTGCACGAGATAACACAATTATAACAAAAATATATCAAGTAGCGAATCACAGCACTCTGATAATGATGAAGGTTGGGGATTAGAGTTGAGGAGAAATATTGTTTAGCAGTAAACAGGTACTTGGGTATCAGTCGATTGGTGGAGGGTCTTTTCAGGGGTTAGAATCCCTTCAAAAGATTTTTTTTTTTTTAAATGTGGTCACTCAATCCACGGCTGTTTGTGGGGACGCTGCTGTGCACAGTCGGCTGCTGTGTTTCGCCCACAAAATATACAGTCAATTCACTTTATGGTATATCCTGTGAAGCGCTTTGAGACGTCTCAACTACAGGACTCCACAATCTCACAATAGTGGGGTAGTCACGATAGTAGGGTTTGGCTGTCAAAGGGGTGTAAAAATTGTGTCTTGCCATTGGGATCATTAATATATAATCTAATATATAATATGTCATGAGATATGTTACTTACATACAGAAAGAGTTAACAAAAACACTAAATACAATATCAGCTCTTGCAGTGTAATCTGTGCTGTAAACTCCTTGTTATATTGGAACTTGGTTTCCAACCGATCTGAAGGGAAAAAAAGTAAATTTTGCAACAAAAATGTGAGATTAGGATCAGTTGTGCACAGTTGTGGAAAGGGGTAGGAGGGTGACCGAAGGCGCAGTCGAAGAGAAGGGTCTTGAGACGTGAAAGGTGCTTTTTAAATGTGTCCAGTGTCCCGGCCTTAACCACCCTTTCTGGCAACCTGTGGCCCTTTCCCTCCGTCTCTGTAAAGCGCTTTGTGATGATCCGCTGTGTCAAAGGCAACGTACAAACAACAACGACTTAAAAAAAACACTTTACAGGGATGTAAAGTCCCCTTTACCTGTGTTTTGGTCCCTGTATTTGGTTGTCAGGATTTTCAGCACTTGTTTAGCCATCTCTCACAGTCATAACACAGCAAAGTGTAACCTCAGCCCAAACTGTCCACTTGCTCAGTGCTGATGGCTTGTGTGTATGGAGCTCCCAGAGCAGGGAGGCAAGTTAGTTAGTTAGTTGGCTAGTTAGTTAATCAGTTAGTTCACTAGTTAGCTAGTTCACTGCTTAGTTTGCTAGTTAGTGTGTTTGTGTGGGTTGTTTTTCTGGGGTTTAAATGGAGATGAAGGTTCCAGCCTGGGGTTCCGGCAGTGACCAGTGACACAGGAAGTCCAGAGATTGGTCAGTGAAAAGTTCCAAAAACCTCGTTCTTCCTTTTGTAATTCGCTCGTCATTGTCACACATCTATATTTTAAAAGAAAACGTATTTATGATTTTAATTGGAGTTTGTGCCTTGTGGGGCTGGGTGTGGTTTCCTGGGGTTTACACGCGACAGTTTTTAATGTAATTCTAACGTGTGTTTCCAATGTGGGACTGGGCAGCGAGTCCATGAGACATCTCCAAGAGAGATGATCCCACTTATTTAATCAGAGGACTGTACGTAAAAGGTGGGATTGGCAGATCTGCCAAGATCTAATAAACTGGTGGAACAGGCTGGCTGGGCTGAATGGCCTCCCCTGTTCCTGTTTTCCCGCGTTCCTGCATGGAATAATGATAATAATAATCCTTGCATTTGATACAGCGCCTTATCACGTCTTCGAGGCATCTCAAAGTGCATCACAGATTACACTGTAAAGTGAATTGACTGTATATTTTGTGGGCGAAACGCGGCAGCCAATTGCGCACAGCAGCGTCCCCACAAACAGCCGTGGATTGAAGTGACCAAATTATTATTTTTAAAAAAATGTTTTGAACCAGAAGCCACGAACATTAGACAGGCTATGAAACACTCTACGGTAACCTTTATCATTGATGTATTTTTGACCAAGTCTTGTGTCCAGCAAACATGAACGAGTCTCAGAAAGAAGATGGTTGATTTATCTACTTTATTGATCAATAAAACCAATACTTGCAAAAAAAAACCATTCAGTTTCCGCTGATTTATGTAGACTGTGGGATCTAACGATGTATCAGTTTCCAGTGGATTTCTTTAAACCAAAAGGAAGTCTCTCTTATTTCGCGAGAAATTTACTCTGAGACGTTTTGAAGCAGAATTCACACAGGTTGTTGCTCTGGAAATCGGGCACTCAACTCGATTTCTGTATTAAGGAATCCCATTAGAAATCTCACTTAGATCCTACAACTCCTTCATTGTTATTTTGATGCAATCATGATTTTGCTTCCATGATGCTAACAGCCATCTACCTATCTCTCAATGAGAGTTTGGTGTAATCAACGGTATTTTAACCGATTTCTTTCACCAGTTGTGCACAGCGGTCTCCCACCAACAGTCGTGGATTGAGTGACCAAATTATAACTTTCTTTTATTCATTTGAACTCCATTCGCATGCTATTTGCACACAGTAACAAGTTCTATTTTTTTTTTGCTCCCAGGTTCTGTACTAATGCTACAACAGCTGCGGAATATCACAAGTTTAATCCATACTGTACTTATTTATTCTATTTATTTCCAGGTCATCATTAGTTATGCCCAACTCATGAAGTATCCTGAAGCCAAAGTTGTTTCGTGCCGGGATCACATATGCATGTATTTTTATTAATAAGCTTTACACTTTGCTAAGTATTTATATACAAAACAAATCTGTGTACAGCATGGTGCACGTGAAGCCACAACCTAGAAGCTGGCTACTATTTGCCCGTTGAGTCCAGTTTACAATTATGCTACAGTTCCTCACTCTCTAACAGGCCAGGGTAGGATGCTGTGTGTTGAGAGTCCACCTTCCAGTTGGGTCTTTGATCATTAAAGTATTGATTGAACGTCGGCTGAACCTTCAGTTGTCTATTGCTTGGAACTTGTGCGATGGGCCTATCTGGAGAAACAGAACACAGAATTCTCGGGTCTTAATACAACAACAAACAACAACAACAACAGCAATTTGCCCTTCACAGAGTAACACCTCAAAGCACTTAAATAGTTTAATTGCAAATAACGTAATAGTTCTCTTAAATATAGATAGATATCTCGTGATGCACATTGCAGGACAGCCCGCTCATTAAACATGATTTTAATAATATTTTTTCTCGGGCCAGGCTCGAGGGGCCGAATGGCCTACTCTTGCTCCTAATTCTTAATAATATTTTGATTTGATACAGAGCCATATTGCAGGGTTGCGATGTCTCAAAGCGCTTCACAGGATACACTGTGAAGTGTATTTTGTGGGCGAAACCCGGCAGCCAATTGCATACAGCGGTGCCCCACAAACGGGGGTGGGTAGAAAAAATGAAAATGATTTAAAAGGACCCAAAGCACGGCAGACCTGCTACAGTGAAGTTAATCGCCATCAATATTCATTTCAAATGGCACAATGCTACGTTTTGCCAAAGCTTTGCGTTTCGCCCACAAACACACGGTCACTACACTTTACAGTATATTCTGTGAAGCGCTTTGTGGCGTCTCGAAGAAGTGATACGATGCTAAATCAAATGCGAGGATTACTATTATGATTATTACTATAATAAAATGCTGTGGTTGACTTACTGTGAACGTCTAGTCTTGCTGTACAGATCGAGGTTCCAGTATCATTTTGGGCTGACACAGTATACCATCCAGCATCACATCTGGAGACCGAGAAAATCTGGAGGCCAACTCTGCCTTCATCGCTCTGGATCATTCTATACATTCAGGGAAACGGTTATATGTTAAAAAAATATGTCTTTAAAACACTCCAAATAGATTTAACTGAAAGCTCGGGCCCACCTTTACACTCTTTAACACTTAATAGTCTTTATTTACTAAAACCAATGCAGGAGTTCAAGTCACCTATCAACTAAAGTGTAGTGACTGTATATTTTGTGGGTGAAACGCGGCAGCCAATTGCGCACAGCAGTGTCTCACCAACAGTCGTGGATTGGGTGAACAAATTATTATTATTATTATTTTATTTATTTTTTGACGGGATTATTACCCCCGAAAGCGATCCGCCAATCGACTAACCACCGGGTTTCGGGTTACTGCTGGTAAACAGAAGCGTGTGGAGTAAGGAATCTTGCCCAAGGTTTTGCCCGGCCCGGGAATCGAACCCGGGTCCTCTCGCTTGTGAGGCGAGTGCTCTAACCACTGAGCTGCAGATGTACTTCAACCGGAGCTCATGGCAACGAGCTCCACATTCCACCCACCCTCCTCTCTGCGTTCATCCCCTCAAGCTTGAAGGTATTACTTCTCCGATTGGCAGCAGTTTGAGGAAAGAAGGTGAAATGCAGCTCTGACGTCAGAGACTGTAATTACCTGATTCTGTCCGTGTTACACTTAATCATTTCATGGTCTTTCCTCCAGAAGATGTTTGGCTGTGGCGATCCGCTCACCAGGCAATCCAACCTCACCTCCCCTCCTTCCACAGCTTTGGTGTTTTGCAGTTTGTAGATAAACTCAGCTGGTCTCCTCGCCTCTTGTGCTACCATTATTTTGGAGGAGAAACCAAAACAAGCGGTAATGCAAGTGCAGTACGATAAGCAATTTGTGTTTTGGCTGAACAGAACCAAGATCTGTCTGTAATTCGAGACATTTCTCACCTTCGACGTCGAGTTGGACTGTGAATCTGTTCTCCCCGGCACGGTTACTGGCTACACATTCATACAGCCCAGCATCACGTGACGTGACTGCGTCTATGATGAGCGAATGCACACCTTTCCCCGACACAAGCATCTTGTGAGTGAAATCCTGACACACTGGTTGTCCATTTAAATACCAGCTAAGTTCTGGAGATGGCAGTCCACCCACCTGTAAATCCAGCGAGACATGTATTAATATCCAGAGATAGTTTGCACAGACTCCAGCTTGATGAATAATAATAATAATAATAATAATCCTTGCATTTGTATTCACTTGACAGCGTGTCCTGTGAAGCGCTTTTGAGACGTCTCGAAGCCGTGATAAGGCGCTGCATCAATTGCAAGGATTATTATTATGCAGTGGGACGACAAGGGGTGTTCGTTGGAGCACTCGATACCTTGGTGTCAATTCTGCAGAACCCGTACTCCTGAATCACAATGTTCCCGTCTGGTTTCTGCAGGAAGCGAGGAGGGAAGAGCTGCTCCTGAATGGATTCATTTTCATTCTCTCTGGAGCCGTGTCTTTGCCTGTTGAGAGATTACTATTTTTATTTTGTCCCGTTTGTTTTGGTTCCAGCGCTTTCAGCCCGAAATTCTGGAACACTCTTCCTCCCTCTATCCTTCCGCCTCACCCCTTCCTTCCCCATCTTCAGCTCGCGCCTGAAGACCTTCCTCTTCGCCTGTGCCTACGGTCACCTCCCCACGGCTCAGTGTCGGGCTCCGACACCGTCCAGCGCCCTGGAACGCCTGCCCTGCGCGAGGGGGCGCTGTGTGAATGCAAGTTGTTGTTGTTGTGGCGGTTGCATCTGAGATGGTTTCGCTTCAAGGAATCTCCGATGTGAGCGAGTTTTGTCCCGTCCAGGTATGGATTTTCCAATTCAGTTCATTTAAAAGTCATTTCTACTTCTCATAGCAGTCAGTCGCACTTACAAACAAACAAGTGTCTTTCACTCTCCCTCTATCCCTCTGCCTCGCCCCTTCCTTCCCCCAACCTTTCTCTTCGACCGTGCCTATGGTCACCTCCCCCCCCCCCCCCCACCCGGTGTGCTCCACCACTGTATAAATGCAAGTTGTTGTTGTTATGCAGCAGAAATGTAACACAGATTTAAATATAATGCACAAGGCTACAAAGAAGAATTCTTGTTGAGAGGAGATTGTATCTTCCTTACCTTGATGCTTGTGATTGATAATCCTGCCTTCTTTGACTATTCGAGTTTTGTTGCTGAAACGAAAACATTTATAAATTTAGTAAATCCAAAATAATAGCTTTGGGAAGGCCATTATTACAGTGATTCTACGATCAGTATCTCCTGTCATATTGCAATGCTATTTCAGATCTTAACCATGATATAGATATAGATATAGAGCCTTAACACGTCCTTGAGACATCTCAAAGCGCGTCACGGAATATACTGTAAAGGGGAGTGACCGTATATTTTGCGGGCAGCCAATTGCGCACAGCAGCGTCCCACAGACAGTCGTGGATTGAGTGACCAAATTATTATTATTATTTTTAATCTTCTCCCAAAATACTGGAAATTCCAGCGATCAGAAATGATAAAATCACGAAGAGCCAGAAATCAATCGGTGATAAAACTGAGAACAAAAACCAAGCGTGCGGCCAACCCTGCGGGTCTCGCCCAGGGTTCGTCTGTTTGTTTTAACAGGAATAGAATGTGTACATAGTGTTCCTTCACTGCTCTACACAGGCAGGTAATTATCACCTCTCTCCTGGCAGTACGTGGCATCGCTGATAGTAACAGGAGTCAGGGACAAATGCGGTTATACTTAGATCTTCCTAATGTAGCGCTGACATAAGCTATAGAGCATCCAAGTATCCGAGACTCTTAATAGCCTATGAAATCATCCTCTGTGCTGTCAGAGAGGTTTTTAGGAGCGGTCGGGGTAGGAGGGTGTTTCGTTAGGCTGATTAATATAACACAAGACATAGTCTTCAGAATTCAGAAGCAGTGGAATAACAAGAACTTGTGTTACATAGCGCCCCAGGACACATTTCAGTAATGATCATTTGAATGAATATCGAGCGTTTAAGAAGAATATATCTTGTGGGTAAACAAGAATAATCGACAAACTGGACACATCGGTAAACAGTGCGAGATTATTTGAATAAATATACAATGACAACATGCAATTATACAGCACCCTTCACACAGGGGAGCGCCTCAGAGCACTTCAGTGTGGAGCGCAGAAAGTTTCAAGTTAGAAATATCATCAATAAAACAACGACCTCAGGGGAAGAAGTAAAATCACTTTAACCGAGGACGTACCTGGGAGGCGTCACTCTCTGTTTGTTGGAGGTCAAACACCGACGCTACATTTTCTGGTCCCAACAGCCTCCGTGCCATCTTTTCCTCGTATGTCAACCGCTAACAACAACAACAACGACAAATGACATTCACACAGAGCCTTTCACGCTGAGAGGACATCCCAAGCGCTGGACACTCAGGGACGTGGACCAGAGCTGGGGGTTGGAATCAGGGAGGGCGGGAGGTTAGGGGTAGGAGGGTGACCGAAGGAGCTGTCCAAGGGGAGACTCTTGAGCTGGGCCTTGAAGGAGGCGAGGGAGGGGAGCGAGGTGAAGGGACTTGGGATGGAGTTCCAGAGGGTGGGGACGGAGAGGCTGAAGGCTCGATGGTTATCGTGAACTGATTTTTAGATGAAGAATATTTTACCTGTTGTCCATTGCTTAAGAGTCCATTTTTACAGCGTAGTTTTCGCTCCAAATCTTGAATCACGGCATCTTTTGAACCTTGTATTTCTTGATCGCTGGTTAGCTTTGGAGACTTCACTGTTTTCTTTCCAACTATCCTGGGATTTCTGTCACTAATCAGGAATGTTTGGACGTCAATATTTTTAAATTCTTATTTTAAACAAAATACCTATAATAATAACAATAATCCTTGCATTTGATACAGCGCCTTATCACGTCATCGAGACGCCTCTAAGCGCTTCACAGGATACACTGTAAAGTGTAGTAACTGTGTGTAAAAAAAACTCCCATAAACTGCTAGACGTTGAAATGCAATGAGAAGTATTATTCCTATTGCGAAAAGTGAAATAATAATTGTAATCATTGCATTTGATGTGGCGCCTTATCACGTTGTTGAGACATCTCAAAGCGCTTCACAGGATACACCTTTGAAGTGGAGTGACTGTGTAATTTGTGGGCAAAACGCGGCAGCCAATTGCACACAAGCAGCCGTGGATCGAGTGACCAGATTATTATTATTTATTTATTATTATTTTCAAACGCTTCAGAAAGTGACATGCATTGGCCACTGTGTGCGTGGACGCCTCACACTTACTATGTTTCTGTTGTTGGCAGACTGCTGTGATTCATTGGCAATGAAGCCCTCTGTGAGGGGAGCACTGAGCTGAGAAAAGCTGCCGGTGACTGAGTGAAGAAAGGGGAGAACATTTGCGTTGGGGGAGGATTGATTGGAGACTGAGAGGAGTGGGAGGACTGTGGTGTGAGCGGAGGCGACAGCTCTCCGGGGGAGCCGAACGACGAGGACCTAGTAGAGGCCGGAGAGCTCAGGGTGGACGGGGAAGTGGACCGTTGGCCATTTTGGTTCACCGGTTGCTGTGAGGAGAGAGGCAACGGCTGGACCATGTACAGTCGGGCTTGAGTCGCTTGGGAATGCTGAGGAAATGGAGCGGAGGCTGAGACCGGCTGGTATTTGGGCTGGCGTTTTGTCTGCGATTGAAGGAAATGGCTTGGACGCTCGTAGTTGAAGCTCGACTGATGCACCGGCCTCGAAGGGAGATTGACCACGTTCATCTCAGTCGTGCGGTGGTTTGGCTCAACCTTGGACTGAGATGGTTGATCAGGGGCCACTTGTTGGATAGAGCCCGTTAAGTGTGACACAGAGGGCAGTGGGTCCTGCTTTTGTTTGTTGGCTTTGGCTTCTCGGTTAAGATCGGAAGCGTTCTGCTGCGGGAGGTCACTGGGGAAGAAGCACAAACAGAAATTCTTCAGAAACAGATTTAAAACGTCCTTGATTTAAACACCAGTATTTTTCAAATCAATCGATATTATTATACCCGGATGAGGAATTTGTGCAGGAATTTGTGCCATTTCAATTAATAAAGTGCGCCCACAGTAAAATAATTCTCTGGGTAAAGTGTTACATTTCATGAGCAATTATCAACACAAAATCTTAGACTTTACTCAGCAATTATTAATGCTTAGAAAAGGATTCACACCCTGAAAAATATCAGTATCGCTTAACTGAGACGTTTAATCGCAATTGAAATAAAATGCTTCTGTTGCTTTGGCTGATTTCCCAATAAATGACCTTTCTACTTCTTAAAGTCGCTGTCGTTTATAACTGTTTGAGAAAACTCTTCTTTTACTTTGACTCTTCCTGTTTGCTCCCTAAAAGCCCAGTTTCAAAGCAAGATTTTAATATGTGGGACTGTCTTTTTTCTATCCTCAACCATTGTTAACTTGTTATTTGAAATTGGGGAGAAAATGACAGTGGTTAAAATCGAATGATCTTTTTATTGTTCGGATGTAAATATGACACAGAGCATGTGGGTAGAGAACAGCTGCATCATCAGATCAATCAATGCCTTTATTTATCAGAGAGAGAGAGAGAGAGAGAGGAATGTAACCATAAATAAAAGGCTTCAGAATAGCTCTCCACTTAGCTCATTAAAATGCCTCAGCCTTTCAGAGATTTCCCTTGAGGTATTTGCGTGTCCGAGAGAGCTTTTGCCGGGTGCCAAATATTTATTCAGATTCAATTGTGTTTGTGCGTTTACTCTGCCTTGTTCTCAGGAATGTCACTGAAGCATAAATAAAACGCCACAGCCTAACAAAGAACTAACACTACCGTCCTTTTATGAATGTAAATTAATTTATTCAATGACCTTAACTCAGCCCCTTTGACCTATTCCTGTTTTTGGTGACGGAGTGTGGCGAGGCAGAGATGTACTGTTACTTGAGTCTTGTTCAGCCATTTGTTGGTGTGGTAAATATAAGCGGTGTTAAGTTTAAAGTTAATGCTCCTGGTATTCTTTCATGTGGATGTGCTTCGAGGAGGCATGAGACAGAATGCTTTCCATTTTAGATGACATTTTTGGTCAAGTTGGCTATCAATGGGCTGAAATTCCTGTGTGCCGGTCGGATTTTCGTTCGTGGGATTTCCTGCATTGTAATCGGACATCACCAACCCATGACCCCGAGGGGATTCAGGCTCAACGTTTCCCCCACATTATTCATTAAAAACATAAAGCAAATGAAAGAGTTAAATAATAATAGTAATAATCCTTGCATTTGATAGACGTGAAAGGCGCTATGCAAATGTAATTTTGTTGTTGTTGTTGTTGATAGAGAGCCTTATTACATCGTTGAGATGTCTCAAAGCGCTTCACACTTTTAAAGTGAATTGACTGTGTATCTTGTAAGCGAAATGCGGCAACCAGTTGAGCACAGCGACGTCCCACAAACAGCCATGGAGTGAGGGACCAATTTTATTTGGGGATTGTTGGCCAGGACACTTGGGGAGAGAGAGAGAAAAACTCCCTTATCTTTTCCAATAGTGCTGTGGTATCTGTTAACATCCTCCTGAACAGGTAGACGGGATCTTGGCTTAACGTCTCAACCGAAGGCCAATCCAACACTACCCCCAACATTGCACTGGGGCGTCAGCTGAGACCGCGTGATTCAATTTCCTGACTTGGGGGCTTGAACCCACAACCTTCGGACTCAGAGGCGAGAGAGAGCGCTGTCACTACGCCAGGCTGACACAGGGCTGTTAAACTGATTGTTGGGACAGAGGATGTCAAAAGCAAGTGATGGATCTCAGGTTAAAAAAACACACACATTACACACCAAGAGAGACAGTCTCATGTCCACTTACTATTTGTTTGGTGACTGAACACTTTCTGTTCTGGGATTGAGGTGATTTAGCACCCACCCCCCCCACCTCCCACCCCCGACCCTCCCTCTTGTCCTTTTGTGGGAAGAGGAGTTGGGAAGAATGTTGATGGAAGTTTTGTGTCATTTCCATGACATCAATGGTTTACGAAGTGCCACGAATGGTTGGCAGATTGCCAGAGCAACACTGGTGACTGCATCCCTTTAAACCTTGATCCAGATCCTCGGAACAAAACCACACATCCTTCCCTCGGCATCTCTGAGGACCTGGGATGGAAGATCAAATCCCACCTCCAGCTTTTTAAATGGTATATACTGCTTGTCGCTCGCCCCCTCCTCTCCACCATCGGTGCCGTGCCTTCAGCCGCTACGCCCCGACACTCTGTTACTCTCTCCCTCCATCCCTCCGCCTCGCCCCCTCCCTCCCTCCCTCCCCATCCTCAAATACCCGCCTAAATCCCCTCTCCCTCTCCCTTGGCTCGGGGTCAGACTCCGCCACTCTCAAGCGCTCTGGGACTCTACCCCGAGTGACGAGGGGGGGAGAAGGGTGGGGGGCTATACAAATGCAAGTTGTTGTTGTTATCATTGGCGTGAAGTCATTGACTAGTGAGCATTGTAGTACTGCATTGCACAGCGCAGTATTAACAGGTAATTCTGCGAGGCGAAAAGCTTTGCGTTTTGCCCACTGTTGATACAACAACAACAACAGCAATTAACAACAAAATGACATTTATAGACATCACAAACTACTGAAATATGTTCTGCATTTTTCAAATCCGGGTCTTAGACGTGAACTACTTAAGACCATTTTGGCACAAGAGCAGCGAGAACCACCTGCGAGGCTGTGGTTTCAGTTCACAGGTTCGGTGGTATTGATCCGCACTATCTATGTGTAAATCTATCTCAGTATTATTACAGTATATTGGGGCAGCAATCGCTTCAAGTCCCTGAGGAACTTTGTCACCAATGTCGTTGTCTATTACTCTTTGTGATTTCAAGTTGTACTTAAAAGTGTTAAAGGGTCAATAAACTAATAAACCAAAGAGGTCCAAACAAGCACTGAAAAGCACAACTAAGTTTTTACCGACGCAATATTATAATAATAATAATAATAATCCTTGCATTGATATAGCGCTTTTCACGTCGGGAGGACGTCCCAAAGCGCTTGATGGCAATTCCTGAACTCAGCAACAATCTAAACATGTCATTCAAAACACACTCTCCCGGGGTTCCTTCCCACCATAGACAGACGTGTAGAGACGAACGAAAACCACAATAAACCTATCATAAATAAGCAACTCACTTTCAAAAAAAAACAGAAATTTGCGAACGTTTAGTCAGTTTAAGATTAAAAAGAAGGAAACAGTATCCGGTAATATTAAAATATAATTGCCGGTTAAACGTTTTGCTTCCGAATAAACATTGCATTATTATTCCTGCCTTACTTCCACCGGATAGAAAAGGATCAGCCAACTTACTGGGGTACAGAAAACTGTCTGCAGACTTTCCAGTCACGATTTTGCTCCCATTCTGCACAGACGTGAACCGAGCAAAGCTTTCTGTGGGATTGTGAGAGGTGACGGGTTGTATATAGTGGGGCGGCCCAGCGAGGCGGTGACGCTGGGCAAGGACTGAGGTCTCATTGCATTACTGTATCCCTTACTCCCGCACCACAGTAAGAGTCTCTCTGTTAACCCTACCCCCACACCACCACCAACAACAACAACAGCAACAACAACAACAACAACAGCAACAACGTGCATTTATATAACGCCCTCTCCATGTCGGGCGGGGCCTCAGATCGCTTCTACGCTTAACCAGGGTACGACGCTCGCCACAACCAGCCTCACACGCGCGCCTCTCCTGTGGTCCCTGTAGTACAAGGTTTAGTAGTTTATTTTTACCGTGACGGGGACTGATTGCAGTCGGTCACGTGCTCCAGTCTCCGGCGCGACATAAATTGTTTTGTGCCTTTGTTCGTTACATTTCGAGTGCGGATCCCTGACTGTCCAGCGCTTTGGGGAGTCCTCCTGACCTGCAGGGTGCTATATATAAATGTGATTTGTTGTTGTTGTTGTTGTTGTATATGGAGCCCTGTAGCTCAGTGGTTACAGCACTCGCCTCACAAGCGAGAGGACCTGGGTTTGATTCCCAGTCGGGATGAAATGTGGGCCAAGTTTCCTCACTACACACACACACACACACACACGCTCCTCTGTTTACCGGCAGTCAGTAGGAACCCGGTTGTTAGTCGACTGGCGGATCACTTTTCCGGGGGTAATAATCCCTTCAAAATAAATATAATAATAATAATAATTTGGTCACTTCAATCCACGACTGTTTGCGGGGACACTGCTGTGCGCAATTGGCTGCCGCGTTTCGCCCACAAATTATACAGTCAATTCACTTCACAATGTATCCTGTGAAGCGCTTTGAGACGTCTCGAAGACGTGATAAGGCGTTGTATCAAATGCCAGGGTTATTATCATTATGAAACCCCGGGCACTCTCAGGAAGCCCACGAGGTATTGGTGTGGTTGATTGAGCCAAACTCTTATTTTGAAAGGCCGTTCCTTTTCCTTTTATAGGCTGCCACACTGATGGTGAATCAATCAATGTATTCACATGAATCTTTAAATGGCAGCACCTCCCACCTTTCCTCACTTCCTGCTCATTGAATAGCTTGTTTGGTTGGTGATGTAGCTATTTATTTTCAGAAAGAGCCGTGGGATCGTGACTATCCTAAACCAATCCTTTCTGTACCAAACCTTCTGCTCTATCCAATACATTCGAGCCCCAGACGAGCTTGTGGAGAGCTTCACTTCACCTCATTGATGAAGATTTTCTCACAATGGCCTGTCTTTGCGACATACACATTGTTGACTGATGTGAACTGATAATCAATAGTGTCCCGTGAAATCGTGAACAGTCTTTAGCTCTGTAAGTAGTTTGCGTTTCTTCGGTACAGTATTCAAACTGGAAGACTATCAGCGCTCAAACTATCACACCGCAGTGGAATAAAAGGCAGCCGTTTAAATATTTTCTGCTCAAATCGGACACAACA